AGAAACAGGGAGAGACCCCCAGCTGATCATCCTCATGGACACCATCCGGGAAGGATGGCCGGACACAAAACGACAGTGTGACACCCGAGTGACAGAATACTGGAATCACAGGGACGAGCTAACCATTGAGAAAGGTGTCATCTTCAAGGGACAAAAGATCGTGATCCCGAAGGCCATGAGAAGAGAAATGCTGGACATCTTGCACGAAGGCCACCTTGGGCAAGAGAAAACTAAGGCAAGAGCCAGAGATATCCTCTTTTTGGCCTGGCATGAATAGCCAGATTGACGAAAAAGTCCAGAAATGTGTGACATGTCAAGAGAACCGTGCGTCCAATGCGAAAGAGCCCTTGATGCCACACCCAACACCACAGAGGCCGTGGCAGAAAGTGGCCACAGATCTGTTCCACTGGGACGGGAAGGACTTTGTGCTGGTGGTAGATTACTATAGCAAATACGTCGAGCTCCACAAGCTCGAGCACACCCGGTCCACTGACGTCATCACCAAGCTCAAGAAAACTTTCGCAACACACGGGATACCAGAAGAGGTCATCAGCGACAATGGACCTCAGTACGCGAGCGAAGAGTTCAGGAAGTTCGCGCAAGCATGGTCATTCAAGCACACTACGTCGAGCCCGCGATATCCGCAGTCGAACGGATTGGCCGAAAGAACAGTGCAGACCATGAAGCACCTGTTAGAGAAGACGCGAGCAGATAACAAGGAACCGTTCCTCGCGCTGCTGGAGTATCGAAATACTCCAGTAAACAATGCTCTGCCGTCGCCGGCACAACTCCTGATGGGCCGAAGACTGCGTACGCGCTTGCCGACGACCAACGAGCAACTGATGCCGCAGTCAGTCAATCACAAAGATGTGCGGCAGCAGCTACAAGACAAACAACAACGTCAGAAGACCTGGTATGACAGGAATGCCAGAAGTCTTCCTACGCTGACACCAGGCAACGCCGTCCGAATGCAACAGACAAACGGCAAATGGACGCCCGCCACCGTAGTCAGCAAATGCGACCAACCGAGGTCGTACATCATCCAGACGCCTGAAGGTGCACAATACAGGCGCAACAACAAGCATCTCCTGAAGACGAACGCCTACCCCCGCAGCGGTAGCCCAACACCAGCGTCAGGAGACAACACTCCAGCCATGACGGTGACATCCAACGCACCGGCAGAGACTACACCGCCCGTGACAACTACACCTGTGGTGACAGCACCGCCCACTGCAGCCTACGTCACGAGATCGGGACGCACCGTCAACCCTCCAACAAAGCTGGATTTGTGATTAATGCACGGACAATGAACACGGACAATGAGCACGGACAATGAACTGCTAGTTTAAAGAATAAAGTAGCGTTAATGCATGCACTTTTTAACTAACCTTTTTTCTAAAGAAAGGGGGATGTAGCGATATTAAAGTCAAGCCAGGAAACACCCCTCTCTTACTACATGTATTAGACTAGCCCAAGTGGTCTCAAGTAACTGGACCCTACCACTCTCCCTCTTTCTGCTGGGACCCCAGATTGAGCAGACGCATCTATGTACCTCAGAGTTACTAACCCTCCTGATTAAAGACCATCCAAAGGTATCGACCCGCCTCGTCTCAAGTTCAAGATCAAGAACACAACAATACATTGCAATAGTTTATAAAGCTCAGCTCTCTCTTCGTTGTATAAACTACATTCTAATACAAAGGGTTCCTCAGGGGAGTGCGGTTATGGCGTCCGGTTTCAATGTGTAGTAAAATAGTCACCAGCTGTTGCAGCAAACGCGAGTAGACGGCAGCAGTAGAGAGTACATGTAATACATAGAAAGCAACAACAATTATACAAACGTAAGTAAATTGAACAAATGACAGTGATGTTGTTTGCTATTACAAGGGACCACTGATAGCTTATGAGATAAGTTTTCAGGCCACTTTTAAGCACCAGAAAAGAAGAGGCTGCTGATGTATTTGTTTGAAGGTCACTCCATATTGCGACGCATTTGTGTCATTTGTATTAATTAACGTAAATGTGAGCGTTGTTCGGGATATGCCGCTTCAGTTTGTCAGCTAAGATTTGTAGTACCAGATTCGATTTGAGGAAAATCGATGCAAAAATTAACGGATGTTAACAATTTTGAAGATCTATTTGGATCTTATACAGTCTGGGTGCAGACAGACGCCTTTCTCCTCGAAACATAGTGCATCATGTTACTTGTATGAGGTTGAACGATTCTCAGTAATCTCCAAACAGATCTTTCGTAATCTCCAAGCAGATCTTTTGGTGGGGGTAAGACAGTATCCATTGGCCAAAGGAGTGTCCATTAGCCACCGAAGTGTCCATTAGCCACCGAAGCCACCGAAGTGGCTAATGGACACTCCTCTGGCCAATGGATACTGTCTTGCCACCGAAAGATCTGCTTGGAGATTAGATTCTCAGTAGTTCACAGAAAATTGAATAGCATGAGTAGCCTGAAATCCAGTCTTTCTTATAATTAGCGATAGGTCCGCTCCCAAAATTACAGGGTACAGCCTAGCTGGGTGCCAGGAATTGAAAATCCCGCGTCTCCGTCAGAAATTTGAACCCTTTGACCCTGCATCAAATTAACCCCGCAAATCCGGCCCTCCTGTGGTCCAGACTTCCCCTCGGCAGAGAGTCGGCTGCCAGCCAGCCACGTCACGTCACGTTCCCAACCCCGCAATACTCCCACACAAACCCTGCGTAAACAACCAGTGTTTTCCTGACCCGTTCATGACCTCATGGGTTGAACTTCACAGTCCGTCCTTTTCGTCGGGATCCAAGTCCGACCGGAGTGCTACTGCATCTACAGCGAGCTGCGGCACTGGGGAGGGCAGGACTCATCATGGCTCTGTCCCGGTATGTACACACTGTCACAGAGGTCTTAATTATCGGGAAGCTCTCTATATATACGTCTGTGTTCTCACGTAGTCTCAATATGTTCAGGGTTTGTCTACGCGAATGAATTATTTTCTGCAGAGCTGGCGTAACAGCTGGGCCGGACTATGTCCTGCAGGGCACGGATTTCAACCTTCAAATCATGTGCATAAGTTACACACCGTGAAGTCTCTCAGTGTCTGGGTGAGAAACAGGAAGTTGTATACAAGTTTGCGTCAGATTTCTACAGCAATAGGCAAAATAGAGCCCCTGAAAACTATCTGTTCGTACAGGGATTAAAATCTCTTTCTCGAGGTTGCTGTGTGATGCTAGTCATACATAGGTTCAGTCAAGGTTTGAAGGAAGTCACCGAAAGAGGCCAAGATAGGGGTTTGAGTTTTGCTTACTTTCACTTGCGAGCATGCAGAGAAGACCCGACGAAAGAAGTTAGGACTGGCAGATACACAACATAAAATACAATGTCTAACGATGTCCCATCATTTTTCTTCCTTCAGTAGCAGTAGTAGCAAACTCCCCGAAAGATCCCGTCCCTTGTCCCTTAATCCAGAGCCCTTAATCCATAGATCTAAATTTCTAAATTATCTTTCGATATCAGGTCTATGCGTGTCTGACTCTGAATTACATGAAACTGTTACGATTGTCATCAACTAGCGAGTTATTTTCTGAATCTAGACTAACAGTCTGGCATGATTCGAAACACATGCCCTGACGAGGAAGTACAGCTGACAATGACTCAGTAGGCTGAACTACCTTGTTTCCTATTACCGCGAGTCCTTATCGCAGCAAATCTGAACACATCAGCACAGAACGCAAAAAAATATCGTACGTGCCAAGTCAGTTTCCTGGTGAGTGTTGTCAGCGTTTTGCACTCCTGGCTGAGCTCCAGTTTTGTTAAAGTCGTGTCGCTCTCACAGTCGTTATCTGGATGTTGTAGCGGACACGACCTGGATGCATGCCATTCTCCCAGTATTATTCTCACACAATCCAAAAGGTGCCACAATTCTAAGTGCCATCGAGTCATACACATGTAAACACAGTTGTTTATACTTGTTTCTCCCTGACACTCCTACCACGACCCTAATCTCCAAGCGTATCTTTTGGTTGCTACAAGACAGCGAACATGCAAATTGGTCAGTTGGCCGTCGAAAATAAAGATACAAAGAAGAAAGAAAACCCGATAAAACGCCTAAAAACGGGTAAAAAATAAGCGGAATCCTAACCCCCTACTCGGAGAGTACAAAGTTCCCACCATGTAGGCACGCACTGTGGACTTATTTGAACAGCTGAGGCGCGAAGGACACATCTAATTTGAACTTGTGAAATCTCGTCGTAGTCTGTGCTTATTAGTTTGCAGCTGGTACACTATCAAGGCCTAGCCTCCTTCGCAGTCTTGTTGGGCGTGGGCGTTATTTTTGTGAGCGATGCGAGTAAACTAAGTAGGATGGCACCAAGGCTAACTACTCAAAGTTGAACGGAATGTGACACCATATCAAAATGTACAAGATGTTGTAATTACATTGAATGGTATATCATATGTTCGACGAGCAAAACACACACACTATATTGTGATGAACGGCGATTTCTAGCCATAATACATGTTTGTTTCTCAAGCAGGTTTTTCCTGAGAGTTCTCTTACTTGTCTCAACCCTATGGCTTGCGGACGGTAAGAACAAGATGGAGGACGAGAACAAAATGACAATAAATGAGCTCTACGGCGGCCATATCCTGTCACCAGGCTACCCTGAGCCGTACGCAGACGACATCAGCCGCCTCTGGAACATCACCATGCCGGAAGCCTTCCACGTACAACTCTACTTCTCAAGCTTCGACTTAGAGAGCTCGTACATGTGCGAGTATGATTCCGTCAAGGTACGGTTTCTTCTTACTTTAATACACGATTTTTATCTACGTACGGAAAGTTAGACTTTGTTTTATTGCTTCATATTTTTTATATTTACGAAGCAAATGGTGAATGATGCAATGGGCATCGATTTATGAATGGATGTAGACAAAGTGCATCATAAGTATATGGGTATACATTGCCCGGCATTTGTCAGACGTAAAAAAGCAGCAAGCCATCTTTTCTAGTAGATGGAATTGGATATTAATATCATAATGGAAAGCTTTACAATGTATAAAACTGTATCTCGTCTTAACTACTCCACTCTCTCTCTCTCTATCAGGTGATGGAAGGTGACAAGTTGGTGGGTCTGTTCTGTGGTACAGAGAACACGGATACAGAGGAGGTGCCTGGGGACCGTGTTATAGAGTCCACGGGCAGTCAGCTCAGTCTGGAGTTCAAATCAGACTTCTCTAACGTAGACCGGCACAGAGGGTTCGTGGCGCACTATCGGGTGGTCGGTATGTAACTTGGTATGATCTGTGCCGGTGAATAACTTTCGTGTGCACGCTCAACCGGGACGGGCGCCGTTACAGGCTTCTATACACATTTGAACCAGTACCAGAATCACGATTTCGTAATAACGTCAAGTGTTCACATTCATAACACATTTTCCTTATCAGTGTTCATGTTAGCGCTTTTGTCACACTAAAGTACATAGGTTTCTAGCCTGGTTGCAAAATAACTCCCGAGTCCTACATCCTCACTGTAGATGATGTAGGACTCGGGAGCTATAATAGGTTTGGTAACCAGGCTAATAGGTATCCACCGTAGTGTTTATAGTGGCACATTTCCTGCGGAATGACACAGGCGGTCAAAAATTTGGATCCAGATTTCGCGAAGACTTCATGGTGTTTTGGCCTATTTCTTCTTCGAGTTTTTCTGACACTACATCGTAGTTTCCATCGCAGCATATGCGGTGTATACAACAAGAAAAGATCGGTTTGCTTATATTAGTGATATTTGATGGTTATACTGTATTTTCTTTTACAGATCGGGACGAGTGTGCAGTGGACAATGGCGGCTGTCACCACTTCTGCCATAACTACATCTCCGGCTACTACTGCTCCTGCAGGACGGGGTACTGGATAATGAAGGACAGGGAAACCTGCAAATGTACGGCAAGACAACAGTCTACTTTTCATTCACCAACTGCCTACATGCTTCAATGATTTTCTTAAGCTTTATCATCTCGCCACATCAACGCCACATCTTTAAAAGGGCAACACACCAAAACATTAGCCTCCTTCGCAGACTTGTGGGGCGGTGGCGTTTTTTTTTTTTGGGTAGCGACGCGACTTATGCCGAGGAGGGACGGTTTTTCCGCCGAGGGGCTTTGCCGGGAGAGGGTTTTTCTTACCGCGGCCGCGGCATACCTCGCGTCGCTCCCCGAAAAAATTAGCGCCACCAACTCACAAGTCTGCGAAGGATGCTTCCAAAACATTCATTATATTAGAAAGAATGCAATTTTTTTCTTATTTACCTAGTACATGTACCTACATTGTACTTTAAATAAACTCCCACAGTTGGTTGCAGTCGTCAGGTCCTGACAGAATTATCCGGAACCATCACCACTCCGGAGTACCCGGACCTGTACCCCAAGGTTCTGGACTGTGACTGGAAGATACAAGTCGAACCTGGTTACGTCGTCACGCTGCAGTTTGACGACGGCTTTGACGTGGAACAACACCCGGAAGTGTCGTGTCCTTACGACCATCTTAAGGTATTTCCGTATTATTTTGAGAAACACTTTCTGTAGTGATGATAAAGGCTTAGTTTAAAGCCAACAAAACATTTTATCATTATTGTCGCCGCTACCATCTATCCAGGATGCGGGATTCCACTACTTTCCACTCCCTTCTGCCCAATGCTTGTCTTCTCGCTCCCTCTCAACTAAAGCCCATCTTCATTAGGCCATATATTATTTGTTGACGACCCCTCCTTTTCCCATGTGGTATCTAGTTCAATGCCACCCGAGGGAGGCGTGTTCTTGGGATTTTCCTACATGCCCAAGCCAACTTGCCCTGCGAACTAAACGTAGACAAAATTACATTTGCCAAATCTGTACTATACCCTGTGTATGGTCATTTGATTGTGATGCTAGTGAACTGTTTATATGTTTTATTAATATGTTGAACTTCATCTTTTCCACAGATCCAGGCTGGGGACGAGAAGTACGGCCCCTACTGTGGGAAGACAGTTCCTCCCACCATCACATCAACAGACCATAATATGCACGTGTTCTTCCACTCGGACGACTCCGGAGAGAACAAGGGGTTCAGGGCAACCTACTACACAACCGGTACGTCAATCATAGTGACGTCACCCCCCCAGTGGGCGGGGCTAATGTCTTGTAAAGCTCACAATATTACCATTGGTTTTGTATGGAATTTACTGTATCCCAACTGTATGGAATTTGCAATGTGGTCTAAAGGAAAGCTCGATCGAGCGGATCACAGAATTAACTTCGAAATATCTGCAATGTGGATAACTCTTACTTGTAATAATTCATGAAAAGTCGCATCAATTTACGCCAAAAACAATTACTTAATCCAGTTGCTTGACTGTTTTTTTTGGCGTATCTTATAACATGGATGTTTAACCTTAACCTACGTTGCAACAACTTGTTCAGCATAGGCCAAATCTTTGTCGATTCTCCACCTCGCAGCTCGACCATGTGAGGCGCTGTCTGCACCGGCGTACGGCACCCTGGAAGGCTCCAACTTCACCTACTCGCAGAAAGTCAGCTTCGCGTGCGGGGAGGGGTACTACCTGGACGGTCCGGACCAGCGCGTGTGCCAGGCAGACGGCTCCTGGAGCGGTGTCCAGCCCACCTGCGAACGTAACTAAGCCACCAGCTCCACACAGCGTCCACAGCCAGTACTGCAGTCTATAAACTCGTAAAACTATATGTTAACCTCGTGACCGATGCATCTAATATGATATGCTTAGTACGTAATCTGACGTTGAATCATGCTACCACGCCAGCGCCACGCATACTCAATGCCGCAGGTTCATAAACTTTTCTCTGTAATTATATATGGAAAGTTATACATTTGTAATTCGAAAGTGCCTCTACTGTGAAAATCTGCTCGCAATGGAATGATGGGCACTGTACATGTCGTATGTTTGCAATGTAGTAATGTGTGTAAAAATAATTGTATAAACCATGGCAAATTTTTCTATTTGTTCCGCTGCAGTTGTTAATTGTGGTCCTCTGCCCAACATCTCGAACGGCGAGATCGAGGTTGACGGGAACTTCTCGTACGCTGACATCGCCATCTACAGGTGTGACGAGTTCTACGAGATGGTGGGGGAGGGAACGAGATTCTGCGAGGCCGACGGGAAGTGGTCTGGGAACGAGCCTAGCTGCAAGCCAAGTGAGTTTCCTTTTAAGTTCAGAAATAACACGTACTAGAAAGATTTTAAAGAATTCACGCTAGGATATTATTTAGTACGCATAAGATCCCCCGACAACATAATGTTGTCAATACAATAAGTATATGCATACGTTAGCTTATGGAAAAAGTAATAGAAACCAAGGGAAGCTAGACCTTCATAAATGTCTCTGTAGCAATACATTTTGTACGGCACACCCCCTTTTCATAATCTAAGTCAATCCATCAATTAATCAATCAGCCAATAAATCAGCCTCCTGATCAATGGATAAATAAATGAATGAATCAATGGAACAGTTTACGAATAGTTGACAGGTAGACCACTAAATCAGTCAGAAACCGTAAAACTTTCTGCATGTGGAACCCAACGATGGAACTTATCTACGGCAGAACTTCTTTCTTCTGATTTGTTCCTATCAAACCATACCTTGAACGTCGCTATCGCTGCTGAGTGGTGATCTCTCCGGCCTCTCTCCACTACTGCTCCCTCCCATCTCCTTCCATCTGACTGACTGTGACGTCTTCTTTCCCGCTGCAGTCTGCGGAGAGTCCAGCTTCCCGTCCCGAGACAGGATCGTCGGCGGAGGGCCGTCCAAGAAGGGCGCCTGGCCCTGGCAGGCCCTGGTCATCCACCAGGGGGCGCCGCGCATACGGAAGCCGTTCTGTGGCGGCGCGCTGGTGGACAAGAAGTGGGTCCTGACGGCGGCCCACTGTGTAGGGGAGAACGACGTCCTGCCCACCGGGTACTTCAACGTTAGTCTCGGGCTGCACAAGCGGAAGGAGCCGGACGCCAACGTCGTCTTCCCGCAGGTGGAGAGGATCATCCGACATCCCGACTGGGACAAGGACAATTTCGACTCGGACATCGCCTTACTGGAACTGAAAGAAGAGGTGAATCTGACGGACTACATCCGACCCGTGTGTCTGCAGACGGCGGGCAGGCAGAGGAGCGCACAGGATGTACAGGAAGGGCGGGCTGGCGTGGTCACAGGCTGGGGCAGGACGTCTAACCTCTTCGGCTCGGAACCAAACACTCTGCAAGAAGTGGAGGTACCAGTAGTAGACCAAGAGGAGTGCGTCTCTGCGTACGAGGGGGACTACCCGGTAACAGCAAACATGATGTGCGCGGGGCTTCGGATCGGCGGGAAGGACTCCTGTGATGGAGACAGCGGAGGGCCACTGCTGTTCCAGGACCCGGACACCACCCGCTTCTACGTGGCTGGGATCGTGTCCTGGGGCCAACCCAACGAGTGTGGCCGGGCTCGGAAGTACGGAGTGTACGCCAGAGTGGAGAACTTTCTGCAATGGATCAAAGACACGATAGCAGAAGAGTAGATGCAATGAGTGAACATCCCCATGTTGCCAAAGCAACCGGAGAACACATGTACAATCAAAATGGCTTAGTTTTCTGCAATAATATACACCTACACAATGTGGGAAATTCAGCAAATTTACGTGACGTCGTACAATTCGTATTGTCACTTGCCATGACTTGCGCCTTGTGAACGCAAAGGAATAAGCCATAATACTAGTAAACCATTTTACTGTGATTTTAAAGAAAAGAGGTCTGGCTCCATTTCACAGAGAACTACTGATTCCACAAGCGAAAACTGACAAATTTTCAATTCTGTGCTGGAACATCAGATTTGTATTAATGATTAAAAATGTTGTTACAAATGAAGTCATAATAAACGATTTTATGAAGTAATTGTTGTTTTTATTATTAGGAATGAATGGACAGTGGGCAGATAGCTCGAGGGAAACCGTTACCTTTTTTCGTAGAAAATGAAATTGAGAAGGCTTAAGGGGAAATAATTTTTGCTTCCGGTAATTCCTGGCGGCTTGTTATGGTACTGCAGCGGAACTTACGGTTTTGATATCATCTAGACAAGCTAGGGTCACGAAATTTTGGTAGTAGATAGCTCTTGTTGGTTGTGTTTCAGCCTGCGGGAAGCCTGAGTTCGTGACCCGGGGGAAGCTGGTGGGCGGGCGGCCGGCCATGCGCGGCGCGTGGCCCTGGATGGCCATGCTGCACAGGACACCGAGGGGTCCATTCTGTGGAGGGACTCTTTTGGGTACTCAAAAAGCTCATATGTTAAGGCAATATATACGTCATGAAAAGAATATAAGTTCCATTTAAATTTTATGTGTCAAAAAGACTTCATAAGAAGAGAAAAACGATTCAACTATAATACTCAACAGTATTGACTTTCACAGCTTTGAAACTGCAAAATGTTTTGAAACAGAAGCAAGCAAACCAGTTGCACGTTCTTGGTTCTTGGGCTATAGGTGATTCTTTTAACACTATCTTATGTACCATTTGAACTAGACCAAATAGTAACGTTAAATGTACATTTCCTAAAAAGCCACCCACTTCCACTGCTGTTTTTACCTTGTTTCAGGGGACCGGTGGGTTCTGACGGCGGCCCACTGTTTGGTCAGTCCGGTCACGTCTGATCCCGTCATGAAGAACTCCTTCAGTGTTTTACTGGGTAGATTTGTATTTCTTACTCTTATCCAAGGCAAGGCACTGTGTCGTGTCAAGACAATACATTTCTTGAACTAGAAAGGTAACATTTGCATAGCCTGACTAAATCTGCGCTCCTAGCGGCCGGCCCGGTATTACACCAGCCGCGGCAACTTCGGGGCGGCCGGCCGCCAGGAGCGCGATTAGTCAGGCTAACATTTGCAAAGCAAATGCATAATGTTACCTTCGCATATGGTCTGCTCTGTTAATTCTTACTCAAACACATTCATGTATATAATGGTACCAGGAGTCCAAATCCCTCCTGCTATAAAATTGCAACCTGATGTAACCCAACACTAGTTACCATGGTGACAGACATCTGGTTCAGGTGATTGACCTTATTTGTTTGGAGAAGAAGATGAAACAAAGCAAAAACAATTCGATGTATTGTAAGATGTTAGTCAACGTAATGGCCCTAGGGTCGCCACCTGCGCTGCTAGAGCAAGATTTTACCGATTGATCTTCAAATACATATTGCTGTCTTGGCGACTGCAATCTATACCGTACATCACCAACGGATCGTACATTCAAGCCAACAGTGGCTCATATAATACAAAACTGTTGAGTGTTTTATGCGTGTTTGCCTGCCAGGAAAACACAAGGCACGGGACAAAGACACGACTGAACAGACGGTGCAAGTAGCCCAGATAGTCGTCCATCCAGCATTCAACTTCACCACATTCCTTGCTGACATAGGTAAGTACACGTATCGCTCACTACGTTCTGGCCACCCTTACCTTTTGGCTATTCTTGCTCAACTTAGAAACTCCCGTTGAAATCTGTAGGCTCGGAGAGAGTTATTGTATGGACTCTTTAACAATACTGTAACAAAACTTTGATAATAGTACTTCAGTAATATGGTAATACACCACGAATTGCAGATTTTCTGTGCCAATTTGCCCACTAACCAGATACATTTTTTGCAGCCCTTTTGAAGTTGGAGAGTCCAGCTCGCCTGAACCCGTATATAACGCCGATCTGCCTGTTGAGCGAAGAAGAGGCGGCCGATACCCTTGTACCAGGCAGGGAAGGGGCGGTGACGGGGTGGGGACACACCGACCAAGGCTTCATCGCTAACGAACTCAGAGAGGTAACGTTTAAAACTTACTATAAGTTTCGTAGAAAAAGTGCATCGGAGGGATCTGCTATAAAAGGTGAACCTGTACCGATCAAACTTTGACGTCCAATCGTTTCCCTTGACCTGACGTTACCCCCCAGGGCCACTATGATGGCGCCACGTTTCCTAGAGTCACGTGAGTGGGTCAGGGTTACTGAAGATGGTAACAGTTGGTTGAAAATTTGCGAAGTGGACCTTGTGTTGTCAAGACTTCTAACTTTGATTCTTCTTCTCTTCTTGGCTATTCATGATACAAATGTACCTACTACCACATTCGAGAACCAAGTTTTAAAAGTTGCAGCTTTGTTCTAGGCGTGTCTGTAGTACATTTTGGCGAGTATAATTTCTAGTTAGTTTGCAGGTATTCTAGCTAATTTACTACTGTCTGTTGTTATTTCACACGAATGCCTAGTGAATATCTGTTTGTTCTCAGAAGTAGCTTGTCCTCAATGCAAGTCTCAGGGGCATCTGTTTGCCCCACTAGTAAGGTTTTGTTAGGTGCTGTCCTCAACAGTAGCCTGTGTCGTTGTTGGTTACAATAGACCAAAATACTCTGTCATCTGCAGGTTTTCCTGCCCCTGGTCGACACCAACACTTGCAACAAGACGTACGACTTCGCCGTGACGTCAGACATGATCTGTGCGGGGTTCCAGGAGGGCGGGAAGGACGCTTGTCGCGGCGACAGCGGGGGTCCCCTGGCGTTCTTTGACAGAACTGCAGAAAAGTGGGTTCAAGGAGGGGTTGTGTCGTGGGGCTGGGGGTGTGGAAGGAAGAACAAATATGGGGTGTACACAAACATCATCCAGTACCTGCCATGGATTGATGAGGTGATGTCTGGTGTTGCGTAAAAGTTTTTAATGGAGACGGTTTTTGTACTCCTTGCAAATTCTTGTCCAGTGTGAAACTTCATTATCAGATAGGCAGGATGACCTTAAAAAGTAAATTTGGAATTAAATGTATAATGCCTTGGACAGGGCTTTAAAATTGTTCAATGTATGAGTCTGCAAAGCTGGTAGGGTATGACAAATATAGATACAGAATTCAAATCTGTAGTAATATGCATGAAATATTTTTACACTTGCTATAATGTATAAACATGTACACATCATCTACTTATGCATTGCATGATTTATTCTTCATTGTAACATTCCTAAACTTTTTACATGAAGTGACTATTTTTCGGTACATCTATATAATTAAAATACAAATATTGTACATCAGTGGTAAAATAACACTTTCTATGGTATTTCTTGAGCAATGTCATGAGAAGCATACATGCAATTGCCTGTTGATGTTTCAATAAAGTCCTTGTACAGAAGCATTTGTGTAACACTGGACTGACAGTAACGTTGTGTGAAAGTGAGAAATTCTAACATACGAACTATTGTGTGATAGTCAGATTTACTGAGTGGTAACATTAAGGAAGTTTGAAGAACAGTCTTAATAGATTGGTACAAAACTTGTCAACATAAAAGGAAGGATTGTTCAAGGTCAAAATTAGATCGGCTGTCTCTCTATGAGGCTACATATACTGTTCTGTCTGTTTATCACCACAGTTTAGAGCAATTATTCATGTTCTCATCAACACTAGTATCAACTTTGTTACCTTCCGATTCAACATCACAGGTTCCCAGGATAAAATTCTCATTAATCATGAGAATATGATCTAGGAGAAATTCGCCAGTTCAGATGATTTAAGTTATGATTTGCCTAGATTCTCTCAATGAACTTACCTCTCTCCATATATATACTAGTACTCCACTCAGTCATTTGACAGTGCTGTAAACGGCACAAAACTGTCCCAAAGAGGATCCCATGCAGAGGAATCATGAGGGTCTACATTATGATCAGACATCTCTACCGGCTGGTTGTCAGAGGACACTAGCTTATTGGAGTCACAAAAGCTAGTTTCTACCCCATCAACACTTTTCTGAGAAGTACAAGCAGAAGAGAAATGATCTGATAGTGATGCCGTGTCTTGCTTCACATCTGCAAGAATGTTGCCAACATTTTTCCCTACGTTTTCTTCCTCAAGTTCCTTGTTGCTGTCTTGCTCTGAGCTTGGTTCTCCCTCCTGATCATCTGCTATATGTGGAACACTTTGCTCTGATGATTCACTGCTGCTTTCATCATTGGTACCTCTGCTGACATTTGAGATATGGCTACTATCATCACTACTACTACTAGCACTATCCCCTCTATATTCCTCACAAGCCTGCTGGCATATGACTCCTTGATGACTCAAGTTTTCTCTGTACTCTTCCTCAGCATGTGTCACCATCCCTGGTTCTCCCTCCATCCACTCTTTCTCCACCTGTTGTTGTTGAGGAGTTGCTCTCTTCATCCTTTTACTGTTCCTGTCATTCTCCCTCCAGGCTTGTTTCTGCTCCTCTGACGCCATCTCCCTTTTCAGTCGTTTCCTACAGAAGTTGAAGCAGATAAAGCAAAGTGATTATTGACCAACCAATGTTTGTTGCAATACAGGAATGTTCTTAACACAAGAACATTTCACGTGTGTGACTTGGATGCATTAACATCTATCAGCAAGGGAGTTTCTGTAAGCACACTGTTCCTGACTGTATGAAACTCATCTTTTGGTGGGACTGGGACACTGGGACAAAGGTTTGCTGGTCACAGATGTACCTAAAACATGTTTTACCTCAGTCTCTCCCTCTCCTTGATTCTTTCCCTTTCTTCAGCACTCATCTCCATTCTTTTCAGCCTGGTCCTGACCCTGTTTTTCTCCTTCTCTATCTCCCGTTCTTCCTCCGTTTGTCTCATCCTTTTCCACCTCATCCTCATCCTGCCCTTCTCTTTCTCAAGTTCTTTCGCATCTGGTGTTGCTGCCTGCCTCTTGAGAGCCATCCTGTTAAAGAACAGAATCATGTAGAATTTTCACGAATGGAAAACATACTTTTCCTTGCCTTTACCTTTTACAAAATCCAGCAGTAAAAGATGTTAGTTTATCTATAATGGCTAACCTAAATAATAACTTAACCCTCTTCCTCTTATAACTGTCTGATTGCAGTAAATTGGCAAGATAGAAGACAGATTGGATGAGGTTAAATATGTGATGACATGAGAAATACAGCATAGTCATGCTGACAAAGACCAATTTAAGAGAAATATTTTGTCTAGTCAAATTCCTGTCCTATGATTTCAGTACAATAATCCATTCAATAGCACATCCCTACCTTATTTTTGCTATCTCCCTTTCCTTCTCCATGTCCTGTGTGGGGGCTATCAGCATCCTCAGCATGTTCCGTATCTTCATCCTTTCCCTCTTGATGGCGAGATGTATCTCTGGACAGTCCTGCCCTTCTACCAAAGCTCTCAGCCACGTTACCTTTTGTACCACCTCTGCCAGAGCAGTGGCTTCTTGAGAACGTGTACTGGCCGGCTGTTGTGCATCTGTATGTTCCAATGATTGTGCAACCTTGGGGCTATCTGGTAAATGCTGGCCGCCAACTGAAGCTCTGAAGTTGTCGGCACAATCAACCACTTCTTGTTTCACGATTACATCACTACTGAAATCAACTTTAGGACTGTGCTCTTCTGTACTCTTTATCCCCAGCTTCTCTGACTTTTCCTCTGTAAGATGTGCATTTTCAGGAGAAGATGACCCTGGCTGGTGCCTAGGCTCTGTGCACTGTGAGGAGGATGCACCATCTGTAGTCTCCTGCAAATCACCTTCAGATCTGCAGTTTTCTACAGCTTTCTGATAAACTATGACATCATTGATCAAGTCCCCACTGGAGTTGTTCATTGTCTTCCAGATAATGTCATGAATTCTAGTAATTTCTGAATCCGTGACCAAATTAGCTCCACGCATGAAGGTTAGCATGTTTTGCACAGACTTGACTGCATCTGACACAGTACAAGTCTTGGCCTCCTCTGTAGTGGCTTGCTGTTCTGTATTCTGTATTGGTCCTTGATCCGTTGCGCAATTCTGATCAGAATCTGGAGGCAACCCGACCAAGAGTGCTTCGATGCAGGAGTACAGCTTGTCAAACAACCGGTACTGTACAGCCTTCACTTCCCTGTCTTCTCTTTTCCTAAGTTTGTCTCTCTCCCTCCACACTGCCCGCTGCTCCTCACTGGCATTCTGTCGGTACATCATTTTCTGCACCCTGTTCTTCTCACGCAGATCTAGTAGCTCATCATCTGACACACATTTCCTCATCATCTGTTTTGTGAGCCTGTCTTTTTCTCTCTCCTCTGCTTTCTTCTCCGCAGACATGCACTTCCTCCGCTGCCTTGCTTGTAATTTCTGCTTCTCCCTTATTTTCTCTCTCTCCTCTTCCGTGAGGTTTTTACGTTTTTCCTGCATGCGAATCCGGTTCCTTTCCCTCCTGAAAGCCTCGGTGGGCACCACTGCTGTGTGCTTCTTCTGCACGTGTGCCTGGAGCAAGCTGGGGGACTCGTGCAGGCTCTGGCAGTACTCACAAACAAACTGGGCTTGGCACCAACCTGGAAGGAGATGGAGGTCAAGTCAGGTACAGACAAGAAAGGCAGAAAGAAGGGAAAAGGGTAGCCTGCAGTATTGGGAGACCTGCTTTTACTCCAAATTTCACCTACGTAACAGTACTTTCTTCTTCTTCTTTTTACTTTGCATCCTAGCTATAGATTTTTGCTGATCAGATTAAGGGGTCCATCCAAGGCGTTCATATGACAATCTAATCCTAATGTTTTATATGTGTTTTTTTTTTTAAATAAATATGACATTGAAGTAGAACACTTAGCAAAATCTGTGCTCATATTTTGGGCTTGTAAGTAAACCTATACTTTTTCCTGGTTAATGCTACCTTCTATGCAGTAGCATTTGGTAATTGGCATGGAGGAGGGTTAGGAAATGTTACCTGAGCAACTGTAATTCAAACTCATCTCCTTCTGAAGTGGCAAATTAGAATAATCTGACAGGAAACCCTGAGAAACAATTTCTTGCTTTAACCTAACTAGTTTAAGATTCAGATTTGTTTCACCTGATGAATTTCCCAGGACATTATATCGTGAACATTGCTACATATGAAAGAACACACAGCAGATTACATGAACGACATATTTTATTCAAAACTATAAAAAAACTACCAGAGAAAACTTAGAGTGTTCTGCATCTACAGGTCAGCCAGAAATACAAAACACTCTGGAAATATTGGTGGGCATTGTTACTTGTATGCCAGAGAGATTTTGCTCAAAAAGCTCTAAACAAAGTTAAGTACAGTAACTGCAAAAGTCAATACTGTCGTCAGAATGTTTGTTTTACTGTGATTGTTAAGTATTTGCAACTTTCAACGAAGGTTTTACAACCTTACAAGTCTTGAACAAGGAAACTTCGTAGATTTTGTACCTCCGGGTATTGTAATGTATGTTGCAGAATGTTGGGTGCATGTTGGGACTGTTCTTTAAATTAGTGAATGGTGTCTGGGTGTGTGTGTGTGTGTTCACGCGAATACCACGTGACACAACTATGCAAGAGGAAGCTACGCAACTTGACACCTGTGCGAACAAGAACAATATGATTATGAACGGGGATAAGTCCTATGAGTCAAGTCAAGTCAAAGTTTATTGCACAACTAATGTACGGATACATCGTATGGCAATTAGGGGTACTAAGTACAAATCTAAAATCTAAACTAATGCGTTGAGACTGTGCTTTTCAAAAAATCCACCTGTTCCACCTCCCCTCACACTTGGAGGCAAAGAAGTCCCGGTTGTTGAATGTGCCACGTATCTGGGCTTCAAACGTCACCGCAGCCTTGGGTGGGACAGCCAAATCTTACACATGGCAAAGAAAGGCTCAACCCGTCTTCACTTTCTCCGCATGCTCAAGAAGGGCGGGATGCCACCAGAGGACCTGGAAACTGTGTATACGACTCTGATACGACCTGTGTTAGAGTATGCAAATGCCGTGTACGTGGGCTGTAACACAAAACAGAACAACACTCTTGAGGCTGTACAGAGAAGGGCGGCGAGAATCATCTACGGCAACAGTACTCAAACAACCCCCTTCTCCACCCTCCAGGACAGACGGGAAACTGCAGCAAAAACTCTGCTCAAGCAAATGCGGCATGTCAGCCACACTTTGCATTCTTTGATGCCCTGCGACAGACACCAGAGCACACGGCGGTCCCTGAGAAATGGAAACCACATCTCCGTTCCGAAGTTCAGAACTGAAAGACTGAGGAAATCTTTTCTGTTTCAGGCAATAAGCCTCAGCAATCAAGATTTGTAAATAGTCCGCCTCTGTTTTAATGGACCTGAGCTACGAAATTTTAAATCTATTTAATTTTAATCGTCAATGTTGTGCTTTTTAATGTGTATCTCTTTTCAAGCTATTTTAACATGTAATCACTTGTGCAATTCAGCCAAGCAATGAATATTGGCTGCCAATCAATGTGAATAAAAAAACAGTTTCAGTTTTAGTTTTTCGAAAAGTTTCGAAATGTTTGTAATTGGCTAAATGATCTGTGAAATCACTAATCCCCCCTAGCCGACTGGAGCCCAAAAATAGAAAGGACAGGGGGCATCCCGTGGCGAATCTGGCTGCCCGACCCTCAGCGACCAGCGATAATGTAAACAAACACCTACACAAACGGCCGCGTGAGAAATCAACTCCAGTGCGCGGAACTTGCTCTCGAAAAATGTATCAAGCCGCTACGCTTCCCCCCGCGGCTGTCATCCCTCCCCACTTATCCCACACTAGTTCAAATCACGTCAAAAAAAATCATCAAAACATGCACAGAAGCGTGTTCATATCTTTCATGTTACGGTTAAAACTTAGAACCTCATTTTGAGCGAACGTTACAAACACGAGACAGCCGGTCCCACCAGGCACGATAATGAGACGTTGATTGATGGCACATGTGGTTCACATCTGAACAGTTTCAAAGAAAGAATTTATCGAGAATGCTGACACCCCTCTGTGTGAAAGGTCAGATCAGTGGTCGAGACCTCAATGGTCCTTATACATGCAAAGGTCAAAAGTTGAGGTCCACTTTCACACTGAAAGGGGTGTCCATCGGCGGTCTAAACCCATCATTTTCACGCACTAAAACACACATACTAAAAAACCAAAACAACGTGCACCATCTACAGCCCAATAGCAAAACGTATACCAAGTCCCAGACATATCCGTCCACCCAAACGCTAGAAACTGCTGCGAACGTAATTTTCGTCTTCCCTCACAAAACCTCCGCGCACGGGATATACATCCCTACCCGGAGGTAAAAAGGGCTAATGTTCTACATTAAAAAACAACAAACATGCCAAAACTGATATTTTTGTTACTTCTCAAATGCGCCACCTTAGCTGCCTACTTTACAGTTACTGCTATATGTATGCACAAACATGTATGACATTCGACTAGAGACTTGTTATCTGAAGTCAAAGGGTAGAAGAACAACAAAAGACAAATGTTTTCACAGCCTTGACTTGCAGCAACTCAATCAAATGTTACTGGTGCATGGGTGCTGTCCCAATTATTATCAACAGAGTGGTTTATTCTTTCAAAAGTAAGAGACCAGACTGATGATTTTAACATTTAAATACAACTGTGATGTGTTACTGTCAATACATTCTGACAATTAGATGGCTTCACAATATCCACAATCATGTTTCAGTTTAGAACTGAAAGTTCAAGTCTTTTTCAGTTTTTAAGGCATGAAATTGCAACATATTCTGTGAGAGGTCTCTGTTTTCATGCCTTCTTTGGTGTTGTTCCACACTTTGCAACATGGACGACCCTGATTCTTTTTCATCTGCCAATGCAGCACAGTCTACCTGTTGCTCTTCAGGTAAGTAGATGTCGTACTTATTCCCTGTGGATACGGTGTTTCCACTTGTGTTGCTTTCTGTGTCCTCCCAGTTTCTCAGAGCTGCCATTAAGTCTTCTCCTATTGTTCCCCCACAGTGCTGGTAGCCACTGCTGCTCTGCTCCTGTGATTTCAGGTAAGATTTCGCCATTCTTCTCTGCCGTGCATGTATCCTGGCCTTCTCTCTCATGGTCTCTCGCTCTTCCTCAGTCATGTTCTCACGCTTTTGCTTCATCCGAACCCTGGCTTTTTCCTTCATCTTCTCCTTCTCTGGCTCAGGCATTGTGGCCGTTTTCAATCTCTTCGCCAGCCGTGCCTTTTCTCGTACCTTGTTCCTTTCCTCTTCTGTCATCGTCATTCTCTTCTTTCTCATGTACACTCTTGCTCGCTCCCTTTCCTTCTCCTTCTTGTCTTGTGCCAGGTTGTGGAATTTGTTTCTCTTTGCCAGCCGAGCCTTTTCTCTGATTATCTCTCTCTCTTCTTCCGTCATGTTGTTCCTCTTCTCTCTCATTCTCTCTCGGGATCTTCTTCTCCTCTCCTCTAGGGCGATTTTCTTTTTCTTCCTCCCGACGTGGCTAGCGGCTGCCCAGTATCCCGGACTGGAGAGAACAACTGTGTGTTGTTCCTCTATGTGAGCTGCCAGGCTGGTGGGTGTCTCAAACAAGCTTCGGCAGTGTTCGCAGACAAACCATGAATCCTCACTGCAATCTGAAATGAGAGGAGGCCTACATAAGGCGTTTGCTGTCCATTCAATATTCAGCCTAACCCACTGTATTTGAGATCCTAAAAACTTATGAACATTGGGTATTTAGGGGAAACAACGAGTAGAGGCACACATTTGCCTGTTTTGTCTCCCCCTTAATTGTGTTTTGTCCCAATGGAAAAGCCAAATGAAATAAAGAAATAATTTCCAGTTTTACGATATTTTAAGTTAAAAGGACACCAACTGGCCTACTACAAAATGTGAGAAATGTAGGGTATTGGTAATCATAGTATACATGTATTGAAATGCAACCCACCTATAGCTAGCTCTTTAACTAATTACTATTAATAAGTTATACATCTTTTTGTTTCAGGTATGCCAATTGTAAAATTGTTAAAGGCCGCATATCTTGTTCTGTAGCTTTCTTTATGATACTTCTTTATGATACTTCACTATGGTGAATTTACCTTTGGCAAACAAAAGCAGCTAAGCTACCTTATACAATGTCTTGTTAACATGCAACCACAGAAAAACCATCACAAGATTAGAGCTGCTTGAAATAGTAGGTACATACAGTAGAAGTTGAACATGTATACAGAAATGCCTAGTTTAAAAGCCTGTGCAAAGATCAATACAAGCTTGATTTTGGACTCTGAACAGTGATCAGAATAAGGGATACACACAACCTTTGAATTTCAGTAAACTGTTTATTGAGAATGGTGAAGGATTTCATATTTTCTACACATAAATGACTATGTTGCTAGTCTACATGGAACTGTACCTGTGTCATTGATCATTTAACAAAAACATTCAAAACTCAAGATTGTATAAGGTTACTGATTTTATTCTCAACCAAATTCATCATTACAAATGGCAGTTCACCATCTTTAGTGAATCTCATTTGTATTTCATCATCATCATGCCAGGCAACTAGCCTGAACCAAGGCCACTCTCTCTTTCCAAAGCTTTGTCCGCCATTTGTATATACATGTATCAGTATTTTATTGTACTACATACATGTATTGCAGGCATTTTTAGTTCAAACTACATTTGCACATGTACACCTGACAACCTATGACTCCACAGTATACATGGTACCACATACCTATCTCTGTCAGACTTTATGTAGTATTTTAATCACTAAAATTTCTACAAGCTGCATTAGTAGACACAGAGTGTCATTCAATTCATTTGCAAAATTGTGCATAGCTGTACAAATGCTAAATCAAAAGAAATGCTTCTCTTATATTAGCATCAATTGCTTTTAGTTTATTGAAGTTGTTTCCTTTGTAAAGCCCTTTTATTTTACTTTAAATGTCATTGTCATCTGTTCCCCCACTCCCCACCATTCGTACATTATCCTGGTCTGAGTGTACAAGCCTGTGACGCTGCAGTCCGGCAGACGACAGGAACTTCTTGCCACAGACATCGCAGGACGAGGTACCGGACAGGACCAGTTTTGAGCGGTTTGACAGTTTCCTTCTTGACAAGCCAATGGTGTGTACTTCTTGAGATGAACCTATAGATACTGCTGAACTACTGCTAACAGTCAGATCCACTGGTGCCATCTCTTTGTCCCTTGCTGTCTCCATTTTCTCGTCGGCATTCTCTCTACTCAGCTGGTATTGCCTTAACAACATTTGTCCGTTATTACCGTCAGCTTGAGTCAGGTTCTCACCTAAACCATTCTGCTCCCCAAGTTTAGAACCACCCATCAACTTGAAAATGTCCATGAAAATTCCTTTCCTCTCCTCACTTGGAATGCACTTCCCAGGGTCTGATATTCTCTCTTCCCCACTCGTAGTGTCCTTCAGTTTCAGATCACCTTCCTCTGAGAAGTTATCTATACCTGCTTGCAAGTCTGGCTCTGTAGTATCTAATTCTTCACTGTTGTTATGTTCTACCTCTTCCATGGTTGGAAAGTGAGATTTTCCCTCTAAATTTATCATAGAGGGATACTCTTTTGACCAAGTAGATGATTGTCTGACCGAGTCTTTGTCATCTTCTGTCTTTCTCTTTTTTACTCTCTTTGGCTTCTCAACTCCTCCATCTAGAATGGTGGTTGTTGACTCTTCCTCTACTTGTGTGTTGGAGTACATGTATGAAGGATAGATGTTCGGAGTGGCTTCAGTGTGCATGTATCGGTAATGGCTCTTCAGGTGGTGTTTCATGCCAAACCGTTTCCCGCATATGGGACAAACGTACCTCTGCTCGTGTGACCGCCGGTGCCTGTCTCTCTCCTTGGCATTTTTGTACTCCTTCTCACAAACATCACACTTGTACACCTCGTCCCGATGGGTGTACTTGTGGCGGTTCAACCCAGAGTAGGAGAGAAACTCCTTCCCACACACTGGACAGAAGCACACAGGTATACCTATATGTACTGAAGCTGTATGTTCTCTCAGTTTACGTTGCTGGAAGCACCCAAAGTTACAAATCTCGCACCTGAAGGGATAGTTATCGTTATGGCCCTGCATGTGCAACTTGAACACTTTTCTATTCTTAAACTTCTTCCCACACCCTTCTACTGGACAGGACATCTTGCCCTCGTTGTCTTTGCCATCTTTGTCCATGTTTTCAATCTGTTGCATGGTGGCGTCATTGCACTCGTTGTGTGCTTTCATGTGGAGTTTGAACACTTTCTTTGCTTTGAACGTCTTCCCACACCCCTGTACGTTACACTCGTACCTGGTCTCCTTCTTTAGTTGACTTCCTATGTCTAAAACATCAGGAGTGGCAGCATCCAAACAAGCTCCATCTAATGTACTGACACTACATAAGTTATCATCTATTTGCATTTTCTTGTCATCATCTGGTTCATGTAGTGAAGGACTATTCTCTGTGCTACATGTTCTCTCCTTTGATTTCTTACTTGAAGCTTGTTTTCTTTGAAGCCGTAAACTTTTACGTCCTTTTTCCTTAACTACATTATTCAAAGCCTCTTTGTCCATCCCAGCATTCCCCTTGCTATTAACCCTTGACCTTTTAACAGGTTGACCTTCACCTTTGCTAGAACTTGGCTTTCTGACTATTCTAGGGACTTCTTTAGTTACTTCCTCCATATATTTGTCCCACTCTGACTTCACCTCCTTTGCTAACATTTTATGTACCGTTTTAAGATGTGTCACTGCGTGGTGTTTCCAAACAAAGGTAGCCGAGCAAACTTTGCAGGCAAAGCTCAACTGGTGAGTCCTCTTGTGCTTCTCTTTGTCTTTTTTATTCTTGTAGACCTTGTCACAGTAATCACAAGGGTACAGGTCATTTTTATGGAGAGATTCGTGATGACGCAGACCTGTGAATGTGACAAAACCCTTTTTACAGACGCTACAGAAACAGACGGGGGTTCCGGTGTGCTTGCAAGCCGTGTGCTCCTTGAGTCTCCTCTCTGTAAAACAGCCAAAGTCGCAATGTTCGCAGCGGAACTTGTAGTCACTCTTGTGCTCCCTCATGTGTAACGTCCACCCTGTCCGACTTTTGAACGTTTTGTAGCCACACTCAGGCTGGTTGCAGTAGTACTTCACATTTGTGGCTTCAGTCTCAGACAATTCTTCACCTTCCTCTACTTTTGGTGGGCTATGACTGTCCCCTTCTAAACTGTGGTCTACTGTAAAATCATCAACATCCGTCTTTCCTATATTTTCTGATTCCAAACCATTCTGATCCTCCATCTCATATGACTTGATATGATTTTTTGTAGTGTAGTTGTTGCTGCCATGTTGGTCTGATCTGTTCTTGAGCACATCGCCACAGTCATCTACATCACACAAGCTGTCAGTGTTTTCCTCTGTATCTTTTGGACTGTATGTTTGTGCTACTGCCTCTTCGTCTTCCATCTCTGTGATTTACAAAGAAAAAGAAAGCTGTGTGAGACTGATGATAGAGGAATGATAGAACAGATACAACATGTATCTGCACTGCTACTTCTACATGTACAGGAGATAGTGCTACTGTCTCAACCTTGCTACATTCCTTAATGGGGGCGCCATGTATACTCTAAGGGTTTCATTTTAAATGGTAGTACCGGTAAGTTTCAAAGAAAATGGCAGCAACAAAACTAGTGCACTTTCAAGGATAGCAGCCCCCATGTAAGGTTCATGAGCAGGCATGGACACACTAACAAACCTTCAAACCTTCAAGTCATCAACATGCATTACAATTGTACTTTGTTTTCATACTTGTCACAAGATACCCAATATCCATGTATGAGAACTACTGTAGAAGAACTGATTCAAATTTTGCTCAAATATCAGCTGATACTACTTCTCTAATACAAACAGTTTTGAAAATGTAAAATGGGCACCAGAGAACCAAATTAGTTGCCAGAGTGCAAATGTTTTCTCTACAAAGTTACCTTCTACATTTGACTGAAGAAATAAATACTGAAGCCTGGCTCACCTGCCTCAACAACCATGCTATCCTGGGGGCCGCCAGCTTGAAAATACTGAATCTGATTTCATTGCTGCCCCTTCCTCTGAATCACACGATTGAGGTAAGTAGCAATTCAAGTTGGTTAAAAAAAACGTAACTTAACTGTACAGCAGCCAGTAACATACTACAGGGATACCATGGAAGTATACATGTACAAGGATGGTTCTGTGTAGGTGGCCAATATACATTGTACAAAGTACTCAATGCACACTTTGTGTCATTTGTCTCTGAGTATCATGTTATTGTAGGAATGTTCTAGATGTGGGTACACACACTTCAGTTATGCAACTGAGATAACAAGCATTACATTGTGTTGAACAGCAAGGTACTAGTACTGTACAATGTACATCCATTATTATATTGGTGACCTTCCCATGATCCAATGTAAATTTTCATGCCAATCATTATGATATAGGGGGGTGTCTGCCATATTGGTATCCCATTGTTGATGACCCATTGTGTCAATAATTCAACAGACACACTAATGAACCGAGTGAACATGTTCCAAGATTATGTATATCTTTGTATCATGTGTAGATGGGGGATGGGACAGACCGAGAACAGTAGCTGCTGTCTTTGTAAAATGTATAAATAACTTTCATCACAAGTATAAAACTATAACTACCATGTGTCGACTAGAAGCGTATTATGTATCTGATACTGTCTCTGTTCTTAATATATTGTTGTAAAACAACAACAGTTCTAAAGACCCTTTCTTTCAAGGCTGCATTATTAATTTATTTGCATTTTTAAGCTTCAGGTTCTATCTATATTTATTCATCTTCAATTCAAGTAACACGAAAAGATGTAGCTTGATCTTACATCTTTTCTTCAAACTCAGTATGTCCTATGTACTAATAATTTAAAGGTAATGTTTTTAAGAAAAAGGCATGACAACTTTCCCCTACCTATATCTCCCATGGTGTCAGGTCTAGATGACTCCTCCCCATCAGTGCTGGCATGGGAGGAGGCTGCTTCTGTTGGCATGGCAACCATCTCTGGAGCTTCACACCAGGAGGCCTGACTGTCTCCCTGTGCCCCTTCCACCTGCCCTGCCTTTGGGAATATGATGATAAATACATTTTTGTACTGTAACAGTGGGGGGTTTATAGGCGCTACCAACTGATCCGGCAATTGGGTCTAGACCTTTTCGGCCGAGTGGTTAGAGTGTCGGACTGGTGCCCAGGAGGTCGTGAGTTCGAACCCCAGCCCGGGACCAGGGGTTTTTATCTGTTTCTACTGGCTCCTCCTGTTTCCCACACGCCCTGGGAGTTCTGGCAAAGAGAACTGTTGGCAAAGAGTGCCTGCCGCTCCAGGGATGTCGAATTTATGAAAAGAAAAGGGGGAGTAGTGTAACAGTGGGGGGTTTATAGGCGCTACCAACTGATCCGGCAATTAGGTCTAGACCTTTTTGGCCGAGTGGTTAGAGCGTCTGACTGGTGCCCGGTAGGTCGTGAGTTTGAACCCCAGCCCGGGTTTTTTATCTGTTTCTACTGGCTCCTCCTGTTTCTTACAGTACGTCAAATGATAAATACATTTGAATGATTTTTGTACTTTGAATAATAAAAATCTGAATCTGATTGCTGTCAAATGACAATAAGTCTTCTCATCAAAAACTTAGTTACTGACACCATAGACCACAAATTTCGGTAAATCCTGTTATATTAATTGTTAATCCAAGAAAAAGACACTCGGACACGCCACGCATGTAAATCAGTACCAGAGAATAAACAAGGATAGTAACATGGCGATTCCTCAACTCGCTGAGACGAGTCTGACCCCAAAATGTGCCCAAGTTTACTTCCGAAAAACTCGGATGCCCCTTGGGAAAGTTAGAAACTGTTCTGTTATTTGCATCTACAAGCTAGGTCAGAAAGTTTCACAATGTGTTATATATCGTTCAGGTATAATTACGAAAAAATCCGGATTTTTCTCAGCCAGGGTGTGGCTGTCTGGTGGTGCCAGTGGCGCACAAACGCAAACATGGCAGACGCGTACTTCACCTCGCTTTCTCTCAAAAATTATGTCTAGTGTTTTAGCCTGCTTTGAAATGTTTCCAACGCTAAAACTAAGCAGGTAGCTAAATTACTTCATGCATATGCAGTGTGGTAAATGCTATATGAGAAGCTGAAACTTGGGAGGCCGTTATTTGCTAGATTAGAGGAGAACCGACCAGCATGACCTGGCTGGCGTGAACAAAAGGCGGAATTTTAGACGACCCGTCTAGAGTTCGCGTAAGATTCCCACGGGCCACAGATGAACTTGAAAAGCACACTATCCTTACCTTGTTCGAGCCATCTTGATCTAGACGAGCTGGAACGCCTTTCTGGCGCATTTTTGACCCGGAATTTGGCGGTCGCTGGGCCGAGAGAGACAACCGCAGCCACCCACAGCGCCGCACAGACAAACACACACACTGACGAAGAGACAACGCCAAAACTCGCCGAAGAGGCGAACCTCGCGAGATTTGGCGAGATTTAGAGTAAGGTACACAAAGGCTGGTACACAAGTCCGTAGGATGTGACAGGTGGAAAGTTATGTAGAAACGCAACAAGGAAGAAATAACTGACAAGGAAGTTTGAAACGCAAAAACGTTTTATTACTTTCTCACCAGACAACATCATAGAGCATGAATATTGACAATAAATATAACTTTGTTATAACTTTCAAACTGTCAAACTTCAACAAACAATGCAAAATCCCATTTTGAACCAAAAGTGTGTAGGGGAGCCAAATAGTTACAACATTGTCATTCCAAAGAGAAATGAAACTATGTCCAGCATTTCAGATGGCTAATGTAACTTGAAGTTTTTGTCAAGAACCTAGAAGATCTTAACTACAAGATGCTCTTCAAACTCTAAATCAAAGCTTGTTTCATCATGCTAGCAAAGTGTAAAAACATCAACATTCCAACCAGTTGTCTTTTTTAATGGCCCTTAATGGGCTCTTAATTTCTGAAAGTAGTTTTGAATTTAATCCTAGACTTTTTAGCACAGTAAATAAATACATGCAACACAATACTAGTATATTGATTGAAACTTTAAAGGGGATTATTGTACTAAGAAACAATACAGTCAAAGAGGGAATAAAATATGTCAACTAATTAGATAGATGCAAAACGTCCTTGATAGATGTTTTTCTGCACAACAAATTGCTGAACAGTCCCTTTTGCAAAACTCAGAAACAAAATACATTTTACTTTACAGGTTTTAGAATTCATAGTACAACCTGAGCAGTCATATCTTCTTACATATCCTGAGTGAATTGATTGTTGTTCAAAAGAAAAAAAGAATAGGTAGCATGAAGCATAATGGCATAAAGAAAACATGTATAGATGTCACAGATGTCTTGAAGTTGAGCCTTAATCCATGTGTGAAAGTATGAAGTGATCATTTGTGTGCTGTCCTATGGGAGCCACTCCTGAGCTGCTTGAGGCATGCCCTGCTGGCATCCACAAACCAGGAGGCACTGCTGTCACACAACTTCCTCTTCAGACCTGAAATACAGGAACACAAAACACATTAAGTGAGCAAAAATGACTAAAACAAAGGCAGAAAGTATGATTATTTTTATTTATTTATTTCGGCTTACAAAGAAGCCAGGGTGTCCCAACTAGTCAAAGACTATTACTAAGAGACACCCTGGGGAAAAAGGTGAGATATACAGTTATTCACAATAGTACAATAATATATAAGTACATTTTTGAAAATACAATAATACAATAGTAGAGACCTAGTATATACATGATTATCTTACTAGAAAGAAATGAAAGATCCTTTAACAGATCCTTCAACTTAAAATCTGATAGAGTTTACCATAGATAAGAACTGAAGTCAAGTCAATAAGAAGTACTTTGAAACTTTGTCAAAGCATTTAGGTTTGTTGTGGATAATCCTGTAGTGCCATACCTGACCCCCGAGACACCTTAGGTGATGGAGGCAGACGTATGCTCTGTGGTGTAGCGTATACAGGTGACTGGTCTGGTACTACCTGCTCATTACATGGGTCATAACGCGGCCTCACTGGGGAGTCTGGAATTCTGAAATGGATAAAAGATCTTGTTGAAAACAGTGTAACACAATATACTTTAGAACATCACATTTAAAAGGTTGAACTCTGCAAAAAAATTCCTTACGTATGTGGAATTAGAAAATTACTGTTTTCAATATCACTGGTTAACATCCAATTCCCAAGATGATCACATTGAAATGTGTGATTTGGATATCATTTATTCAATTCAGAGATTGTTTCACTTTCGAGTGTTTTGGAATAAGTGAGGTATGAAATTATTTTCTTCATGCTATGTAGTTTTGAAGGCATTGAATGCGTCCCTACTTGAGTGAGAAGTAGTTCTGAGACTGGCTGTCTTCTTGTGAGCTACCAGGATCCATGTCATTAATGTTCATGGTCAGCTGGCCTTTCCTGCAGAAAAACACATCACAGGTGGAAACTCAATTTAACACACAGCTCATAATGTTTTTCTCAATTTTCAAAAATTCAGAAAAAGTAACATAAAAAGATATATACTAATATATAGCCTTTATTAGGTAAATATACCAACAAGAAAAATGCTGTAGCTACATACATGTAAGGCTGAAATGTGATTGGTACAGTGATACCAGTAATTGATTGTTACTTGCACCAACCTTTTGGAACCTTGAGTTGTATTACCGGATACAAGAGGCTTGGCATCTCGAGTCGAACCTGGTTGGAAGAAGTCTTCCATGATCCACAAAGAGGGAGATGAGGAGCTGTCACTGGCAAAATTAAGAACAATTTGTGCACTGTAATAGTTTTAAAATCCCTTTCTGTTTTCAAGCAGTCTTACAGATTGTACATCTAAGCTTAAAATAAGATTATGTACACACAAAGGAGCACATCAGAATTAAAATTGACAGGGAACTTAAGAATAGTTTGATGATTATGGTACCTACCTGTCTAACTGATGTTGATCACTGACAACTTGTGATTTATTTTCCTTTGCCTTTGCTGATTTCCCAGCTGCCCACTTCTGTGCAATAGCAAGAGTCTTCTTCAGACTTGGTGAGTCACTCTCAATCTTCCTCTCTTGGCTGAATATGTCTAACGACAATGGGTCAACAGACTCCTGTGTCACACCCTCTGCTTCACTGCCAATAGGCTCTTCCTCGCTATCTTGAGACTGCAGTATTTTAGATGGTGGGTTCTTTTGTTTTGAGAATTGCAATACGTTTTCAAAAGTGCCTTCTCTTCTGTCGTCAAACGTGTTGCTGAAGTTCTCATCACTGTCTTGGAAATGCAGAATTTGTGAATCGCCAAATGTGTTTCTAGACAGCTTTTTGTTGAAAGGGTTTGGTTCTTGAGAAACGTCACTTTCATCAACATCCTCCTCATATGGGTCATCACTCTCCGGCTCCTCCACATCTGAGTACGGGCTGACATACTGCTTGACTGTGTCCCTCTTGTCACTATCTAAATTGACATCTTCAGTTACTTCTGGTGTGTCGATACACTTCAGCGTGGTATCAATATTGTTTTGTGGTTTGAACACTCTCTTCGCACTTCTAATTGCCGGCTTCATGCTTGGGACATCTTCATCATCATTGAAGTCATAGACAGATGCACTCAGATCTGTTATTATAGACACATCTTTGCTGGAGTTTGGTTGCCACATCTGTATTGCTTTTCTTATTTTCATGTGTTGCTGCCCTGTGGAAGACGTGGCAAGAGTTTCATCCTTGTATGAGCCCTTAGCACTAGCAGGGGTTTTGTTTCCCACCTTCTTTGCCCTCCTCTTCTCCACACTTGCAGGCTTATCCCTGCTGATTGTTGCTTTCTTCACCTCACTCCCACTCTTAGACAAATCTGTGCAGGATTGGGATCTCTTCCTGTACCTACCAGATTGTCTCCAAGCAGGCAAGTCTTCAGAAGACTGGAAGGGAACTGGTGGGCAGTCTGGAGAACATGGGCTGGCAGTCGGATAGCTGACTATATCCTTTTTCATGTTTCCCTGATAACACTGCACTCTGTTTTCTGATTTTGACCTCTTACTATCCCTTGATGCAGTCAAAGATGAGCCTGTTTCTATACCAAGAAGATGACTGATGTCAACTGCTTCACTGTCCATTTGACTAGGTTCTTCTACCTTGATTATTGGCTTTTGTCTCTTTCTGCCCTTTCTCCCTCTTTTTGTGACAGTGACCTGCTGTTCAACTGTTTCTTCTATGTCTTTCTTTTCTTTGTCTTTCTCTTTGGTATCCTCCATCTTTGTTTCTTCTTGTGTTTGTTGTGTCATTGACCTGGTCCGAACCTGTGGGAGAACTGTTGCTATGGGTGACTGCTTTCTCACACCTGACTTGACTTGCTTGATATCTGGTGAAAACATGGGCTGTGCATCTCCTACCTGCAGTTGGTACACTTCATTATCCCTGACTAAACCATTGCCATCAGGTGTCATTCCGACCTGTTTGTTGATTGGCTGTAAGGTGGCAGTTGCGTATAAGGGTGGAAGCTGTGCATGTTGCTGGTGGTAGTTCGACATGGTTGTGCTCTGATGCTGATTGGTCGGTCGATTACCAAACTCAGCAAGCATTCCATATTCATTGTCTACATCTGACCCTCTCTGTCCTTGGTTCTGATTGGTCATTTCACTCAGTTCCCTGCTCTGATGTCCATTCCACTCATGTCTGTTTGTCTGTCCATGGTACTGAAAGTTGGGATCTCTGAGCCATTGGTGCTGTCCTTGGTGCTGATTGTTGTCCTTGGCAGGATGTTCACTTGTGATGTCATTAGCCATGTCCATATTTTGCCCCACAATCCTGGTGGATGGTATGTTATTTTGCTGTAGAATGTTTTCTTGGTTACAAGGCTTCCTTGGTTTTATTTCCACCATATTTTGCTGCAGCCGATTCTTGTGTGGGTTCTGCAGTGTGCCAGCTACTCCTCCAAAACCATACGTCCCTCCAGGTTCGGTCTGTGCCCTTGTAAGGGCTGAAGACATGCCTACCTGTACTGTTGTGGGATTTACTACTACAGGTGTGGGATGGTAGCTAGAGTACAAAGTATTTGCTGATACTGCTGGTACACTGGACAGTTGGTTGCCTGTATAAATGCTGGACAAAGCTAAGTTTGGTTGCAGACCATAACTGTGTTGCTTTGCCAAAATGACAGGAATTTTGTCATCCTTCAGAGGAACATTTTGGAGCAGTGGGTCAGCAGTGCTAATGTTCTGTTGCTTCTTAAACCACTGTCCCCGTTGAGCAACAGCTGTTGACCACTGTTGGTTCTGATGAGAAACATTCTGTTCTTTGTTGCTGTTGTCACTTGTGGCCATGTTTTTCTCAGAGTAGTTGCTGTCACATTGCCCTCCTTTGTCCTTGCAACAGTTGTGAGTTTGGGTTTTCTTTTCTGCCTCCTCCCTCTCTTTTGTTTGCTGTTCAAGCTGCTTCAATTGCCTGAGAAGATGAGTATCATCTAGTAAGCCCTTCTTATGCAATAGAACTGACCATGTCACAAAACAGTTATACACTGAAATTAGAATCCAATGTAAAAATCATTGATACGAATTTCAGAAAAGAAACTAATGTAGTGACACATTGTTGCTGATCAGAAAGTCATTGTATCATGAATGGGAAGCCAGCATGAGTCATGTCAAAAAAAAGGAAACAAATGAGGGGGGTCGTGGTGCATGTATTGTACCTGGAAATTTCTCCACATGACCTGATACTCTCTTTCAGGACCTCCGTGTTGTCGTTCTCCTTGTCTTTTAACTTTGATAGTTGCTCCCTTGTCAACTCCTGTCACAGATTGATAAAACAGGGCATCAAATATTGCTTATCATACCATAGTCTACATTCACAATGACAGCAGAAGGCAATGAAACTTAGGTAGCTTTTGCTAAGTTGATACTAATATGAGCTAAATCATACCTGCTGTTTAGTCATTGTGGAAGTCAATGTTGATATGATGTTGTCCTCCTTGGCAGCAAGGGCTTTCTTCAGCTGTTGCTTCAGTTGAGAGATCTCAGCATCCTTTGCTGCCATAGCAATCTCTAGATCACTCAGCTTGGCCTTGTCCTTCAAAGACATTAAAAGTTATTATCATCAATGAAGACTGTTATAAACAAAATTAAAATAAAACGGGAAATTAACATGATGCTCAAGAGTAAAACTACAGCAGCCTTTGTAGATATGATAATTATTTTTTGTAGTAAATAGCTTACAGAGAATACAAAGAATTACATACTTCTTCCCTCCTCTTCACAGCATCTTGCAGTCTTCCTGCATGTTTTCCAAGCTCATCAGTGACTTTCTGCAACAGCTGTTCAGCCTTCTCCCCTTGAGTTGTTGCTGTCTTGTCTATCTTGTCCTGAATCCCAGTTGTCAGCACTTTCACCTCCTCTACGCAGTCCTAAAATGACCATATAACGTTATGTATGACTTCTTTACATACCTTCTCACATCATGGACCTTCAGCTAAAGACTTAACTAGCCTAGTAGACATGATATTAGATTAGTGAATTTATTTGACTTATTCTATCCTTACATATTTCTTATACCTAACTTGACAGATCAATTAATGCTTGCATTTGACAACCATCTATTATTCATCCATTCACTCCTGTTTCTCAACACAATGACTATAACAACATTGCTTTCAACATTGGGAGTTTCTATACAACAGTCTATTCTACATTGATGCATGTGATTTGAGATTCTACCTTCAGCATGGAGACAAACAAGTTCAGGATCTCCCTGTCATCCCTTTCTTTTGCCCTCTTCCTGTTAACTTCCATCTGCTCCTGCAGGCTCATCTGAGGACACCCCTTGACCACAGAAATAGGCTGCCGGACTCCTTGGGTGGGGAACAGTGCACTCTGGGCCTTGTACCTCTGGTAGTAGTTCACACTCCCTTCAGAGTCCTAGTTGAATGCAAAAAGCAATTGGTGATTCAGCCATGTGCATTAACAACTGCATGTATGTATGTGGTCAGGAAATCAACAAATGTACAGAATCACAGGAAAAACAATCTTAAAGTAGTCATGCATTGTCTAGTGCTCATTGGCAAAGAGGAAATATTTCCTACAGAAGTTGCTCCAGCATCAATTCATGTTACTGTAAAATTCATTTTTATCTATTTCTGTGGGGGTTTGATTTTGAGGTAGGAGGGGAAAGGAGATTTCTGCAGTGCTATAAGTTTGCTGTTGAAGCAATTCGGCACCACAGAAGTACTGGTGGTGTACATATACAGTGGTGTAACACAATATAAATGCATATTCATGGTATCATGACTTCACATGGACTTCAAAAACCGTGGAAACCATGAACAGGATTTGCAGCACATTTTGTCACTGCAACAGTGACTTATTTTGTCAAGAGATAGCACTCACCTGTTGTTGGGGAAACAGAAGATCCGAGCTCTGAGAATCCACCATCTGTGAGTACATGCCCTCGGAGCTGCCAGCCTGGCTGGACTGGGTCTGGCTGTTACTGCCATACTGTGGCCGGTCACCCTGAGAGTTCCGCCGGTAAAACCGCCTGCTGCCCAGGAGCTCCCTGGTGCTCAATTGGTTGGTCAGCATCTAGATTTGTACACCTGTATAAGCATGCAGAATTTCAATCATAAGAATCAACGCTAAAGTATCCATATTTTACTAGCCTGGTATCCAGCCTTGTTAGCTTTAGTCCGCTACCCAAGATCGGCGGGGAGCGGATCTTGGGTAGCGGACTAAAGCTAACAAGGCTGGATACCAGGCTAATATTTTACTACATGCACATAACTAGCCGTGGACGACTCGGGTAATCGTTTTTGTATGATAAAATCCTGTATTATCATACAAAAAGTCCACGACTAGCACATAACATGTACTTTTACTACGTTTTAGTAGCTGGCACAAACAAGTGCTTTAGTGGCTTCAAGAAGGTTAAATATCATGATTTTAAACCTCCTTGGTGGCTTGCAGACTGGATTTCTAGAAATTCTACATGAAACACCCAAATTCATGTACCACATTTTGTGATTAAAACACACACATAATATATATATGGAAGTCCACTGTATTTTAAAAATGCCATGAGATAAAGTACGTGTATTAACGTTATGGAATCCATATACCGGTATGAGCACACTTGTCAAGTCGTCTGCTAAAATTATGCTGACTAGTGACTTGTCGTCTGCTAATAGAAATGTACGTTTTTTCTTCAGAATTTGAGATAATATACAAAACCTCTACCTTCTTTGGTTGCAGAAAGTTATTTGGCAGAAAAAGTGACCTACTAAACTGAGACACTCACCTACAGTTTTGCGAAAATGGATAAAATAGTCGTCCTGTCATTCATAACTCCCGCCAGGCGCCTCCATTTTCCCGATCTTCCCGTCCAAAGTGCACCACGTGACTAACGCGTGAGGAGACGAGAAAGAGCGAGACTAGGGTAGGGCGGTAAGTCCTGGAATATCTTGGTGTTTCCGGGCAAAGTTTCAGGAAATTTTACACAGTTTGGAGGGTGTAGGTAAGCAAAATACTCACTCTGGTTGTGTGTGAAGCATTTTTTCTTGCGTTGAGCTGTACGAGAATGTTTTTAGGTGGAGTTTGAAGGCGATATGTACCGTGTGAATTTGAATGATAAAAGATGGCTGACGGACGGTCACGCGCCGGATTTTGGGGGTGGGTGGAGCCGACTGGTGCTCGCGATTTGAACCCTTCTTTCTCTTCCTAATCACCTCGGCAGAGGATATAGTTTTTCTGTATCTAGAAATAATAAGGGGATGGCAGGAAATGTAGCATACAGCGCAGAAAATGATTCTTTGTTGTTATCAGATCTCATGCAAACCAGATTTTGGCGAAAGGAAATGGGGGGGGGGCACTTTGCCACCTACTGGGTCTGTGTAGGACATTATAAACTCTTCCCGTGAGAATTCAACTGACTGATGACATAGTGGAATTTCGCGTTTGAAATTACGTTATGCAAATAATATCTATTTGTTTATTTCCCAACTAGAGTGGAATCAATTTTGCAATTATTGACGTTACACAAATTATCTTTAAAATTTTGTTTGATCAGTATTGATTGATTGATCAGCAGTGATTTAATAGGCTGTTTTGACTAATTTACATTTGTATGAAATGCCCTTCAGGTGACATTGATATTTAATGATTTATGCAGATATACATCATAGGCCCATTGCTGGGGTTCCCGGTATTTTACATTGATGTACACAAATTTATCTGGGCTTTCTGATAATCAAAAGAACATGTCAGGAAATGAAGGAAGGAAGGGTTGCCATGTTGTACCTTTTCCTGTCACAAGCTTATATCAAACCCGCTCTGTTAGCACAAGTCAAAACATAGATATTACCTTGTTACATAAATACATATTCAAGTATTTGTTCATCAATTTTAATCAAATTTTTAATGTTGAAGATGACCTTTTGCTTTTCTTTTAGTTATCATTGGTTCTATTTAGACCAAGGAGGTTTCGACTGACATGTGCTTATTTTTAATTCACTAGGATAAGCAGGCACCATGATTGGGGGCCTGTTCATCTATAACCACAAGGGGGAGGTCCTCATCTCCCGAGTGTACCGGGATGATATTGGGTAAGTTGGATAGCACTGTCTGTTATCTTTATGTGGGTGCAAACAGTAAGGGCACTGTAACATTGTGTTAGGGCTGGTCAAGTCAGCAATGCAACCAACAGTTTTAGAAGAAAGAAAAAAGATCTTGTTATCATACAGGTTTGAAATACAACTGTAGTATGCAGCAGGTTTTGTTGTATACTTAAAAGTATAATTTTTTTTACCAAAAGTAAAAGATATTAATAGAGATTAAAGATAAAAAGATACAGACAGCTTTGGGGGACTGCAAAGAGAATTCAGGATTTAACCTAACCTGACAAGGTTTTCCATACATACATGTACTGCCAGTGATTACTAGTATTGACAGGGTTGTTATTATTCTACAGGAGGAATGCTGTGGATGCGTTCCGAGTGAACGTGATCCATGCACGACAACAGGTTCGCTCACCGGTGACCAACATCGCTCGCACCAGCTTCTTCCACATCAAACGCTCCAACATCTGGCTAGCCTGCGTCACCAAACAGGTGTGTACAAACATTTAGTAATACACATGTAGCGCTATCCAGTCCTGTCTAACACTCACAAAGTTTCAATTTTATCAGAAAGATCAGAAGGTTGTATTTTTTATTCTATGTTAGCATCAGCAGATTTCACCACCATCAACCATTAATCAATCTCAATACTTAGAATAGTATGATAATCCTTCTGTATCATGTTAAATAATGTTATTCATGATCTTGAGGTATAATGTTTTTCACTGTTTTTCAGAATGTGAATGCTGGCCTCGTGTTCGAGTTCTTGAACAAGATGGTGGAAGTCATGCAGTCGTACTTCGGCAAGATCAGTGAAGACAACATCAAGAACAACTTTGTTCTGATCTATGAGCTTCTTGACGGTATGTCACAATAAATTATTCGTCCTTGCGTCATTTCTGCATGAATTGGTACTGGTGCCACAACTTGCACATTAGAGAAGAGGCTGCTTGAAGTTAGATGACAAAGACAGTGTGAATAATTACCAGTAAATCTATGTATCTCCTTGCTCTACAGAGATTCTGGACTTTGGGTACCCCCAGAATGCAGACACCAGTATCCTGAAGACCTTCATCACACAGACTGGAATCAAGGCACAAGTGGTATGTGCTTGCATATTCTAGATCTGCACTTCACTGTTTTTCATTCATCTCAATGCTCACAACCTAGCAGGGAAGACCCAGGCATTGACTAGCAATATGAGCGATCGTCATGACATTACGGCCAGTGAGTGGTAGGCAAGAAATGGGTGTTGGCTGGCTGATTTGCCTACCAATAATTTTCATATGTCTTCAAATAACATTGATGATGTAAACAAAAACAGCAATCGCTTGTATACAGAGAGACTAGCATCACAAACTCAGGAATTGTTAGTGAAATTGTTGTCAGGGTAATTCTGATTCTCCACTGGTTTCAGACAAAGGAGGAACAGTCCCAGATCACCAGCCAAGTAACAGGGCAGATCAGCTGGCGGCGGGAGGGCAGTCAAGTATCGGCGCAACGAGCTGTTTTTGGACGTGTTGGAGAACGTGAACCTTCTCATGTCCCCACAAGGTAGTATAGTCCACCCTACTGCACAGTTATTATGTCTTGATCAAATACTTTCTTAAGCTACGGGACCACAACACAAGTGCAAAATATATCTGGTTGCTTGAGTAACTGTTGTCTTGTGTATCTCATTTATATTACCTTGATATCTAACCTTCATCGACAAAACTGAGTCTTATGATTGATTTGTTGAAAATTCCTTGCTACAGTTGACATGCTTATATTGGAGGGTTGATACACAATTGTACATGTATGTTCTTCTTATTTGAAGATAACAAATCGCTGTACTACATAAATACAGATATGTAGCTTTAATGATAGCTCCAACAGATAGAATACCAGAGTTTATTTTTGTTGACAGGCCAAGTCCTGAGTGCCCACGTAGCTGGCAGGATTGTGATGAAGAGTTACTTGAGTGGGATGCCAGAGTGCAAGTTTGGCATCAATGACAGACTGGTCCTGGACAAGTCCGGCCGATCAGATGACCCCAGCAAAGTGTGAGTAGTCTTAATGCACACATGCCTCCTGGGGCAATGTCTTAACAAACTAAAATGTCTTTCTGTACTAACATTAAGTTTGCTTGTTCATGCTTTATGCGCAATAATGACTTGTTTGCATTGATTTCAGAGCCAGCAGGACAATATTTGGGCGCAGTCTAATTCAATACATTTGCATGTTTTCGTTGCCATTGTGTAGAAATTATGCATTATATTTTAGTGTTACACTGTTAATTGCTGCTTCATAGAATAGAAGGATAGTTATTTCTACTGTCTGTCTATGCTTTGTTTTCATATATTTTACAGCTTGCAATATTAAAACTGAAATAGCATATGTTTTCATACTTTTCTTCAGTCTTTGTTCTGTAGAACTGTAACTTCTCACTGAAGACTGCCATTGCAAACTCAAATGCGTAGTCTGCTATAGTAGAATGACTTACCCTTACAATAAACCAGTCTACACAACATGGGGAACAGTAGAGAATAGGTTGTAACTGGGTTTACATGTAGTGTGGCATCAACTAACTTGAAGTCATTGATACACACATACATGTACATGTATCATGCTAGTAGGCTGGTGCTGCTTTTGGTTTCACTGATGCCATCTAACAGCTTTTCCATCTCGCTAATCAGGAAGGCTTTTATTTTGTTTAAGGTGTCCTCTGTCCCCATCAGGGTTCTCTCCAGTTAAAGATTTTGGTCTGTCCGATCACTAAGATATTGTAAGGGTTTGCATTGATGTAGGGTGGGAGATTTGTAAGCATTTTGGCCCCATACCCTATTTTTTCCTAGATTTCTGACACTTTTGACAACCTGATGAAAATATGACAAATTTTCAAGCGGGTTGGGATGGTTGGAAATTGTGCATCTGTCCCAGACAGCAAAATTCTGCACATGGACGAAAGACTTCACGCTAGAGAGAGCCCTGGTCCCCATGCTATTGACCAACAATTGATCTTAAAAAGCTTTTTTCGTTGAAGGTGTCCTCTGTCCCTGGTGCCTGCCTGCTCTCCGACGCTTCAGCTCCCTCCCATCATTCCTCACTGCCTCCACAGATCTCGGCTTCCCTCCGCATCCTTAGCTTAAGCTCCGAGTCCCCAGACACTCAAGACGTCTTGTTTCTTCTTCCTTGTGACAGCTCGGCCACAGGAAAGTCATCTATAGCCATAGACGACTGCACTTTTCACCAGTGCGTGAGGCTCAGCAAATTCGAGACGGAACATAGCATCAGTTTCATTCCTCCAGACGGGGAGTTTGAGTTAATGAGGTGAGAAGTCCCAATGTGTTTGTATTTTTTCTTTACGCCGAACCACAGTGCCGCCACGCCAGGAAAGACGTCGGTGGCCATCGACAACTGCACGTTTCACCAGTGTGTGCGTTTGAGCAAGTTCGAGACGGACCACAACATTAGCTTCATTCCTCCTGATGAGGAGTGTGAGCTCATGAGGTGAGCATATTGATTCCCACAGCAACAACAACAACAACTTCTGCTACTAGCAGTAACTGCTTGATCCTTCAGGTAATTATTAAAGAGGCGTGTATAGAGTATTGCTGGCAGTACCTGCATCGCCTCAGGTGAGTAGGTAAAGTTTCTTAACCCATCCACGTTTCTGTTAGGCAGTTAAATGGAATGTCTTTCACTTTGCTAACATCATAGACAAAAAAGGTAGCAAAAAACGCTTAGAGTTAAGTTAGAAGCATGTCTAGAAAGTTTTGTTCTTGTCTGGTATTTTTACTCGTGTTACCAGTAGTTCTAGATGTAGAAATTGTGGTATGTAGTCCATTCTGTTCTGCACCAAGTTTGTGTACCACAACGTCTGTTGAGTTGTAGCTTAGTGATGTGTACCAGTGTGGTTGTAACAGACCTACAATGCTGTATGGAGAACTACACAAGCCCTAATGTCTGTCCCAGGTACCGCACCACGAAAGACATCAGCCTGCCGTTCCGTGTCATCCCGCTGGTACGCGAGGTCGGGCGCACCAAGATGGAGGTCAAAGTCGTCATCAAGTCCAACTTCAAGCCATCGCTCCTGGCCCAGAAGATAGAAGTGAGATGATATAAAAGATTATTTTCACAACATTCAAATTGATGCGTAGGCCACACCAATTTAATTTGTTCGTTCTCGGATTCGCCTCTTCTTTTTTTTTCTGATTTGCAAACAAAACAAAAAAAAGATTATGGTTCTGAATCATCTCAAATATGCTCATATTTTGCCCTTAACAGTTGAGGAAAGTCCCTTTCTTCCTAGTTGTTACAGTTTTTCCATCTATCAATGCAGTGGTTTAATTAAAAGTTCAAAATTCATCGTTGAAATATTGACCCAGCCTTATGTGATGACTTAATGGCTCATATTGTAGCATTTGGGGCTAAAATAGGATACCTAGACCTGTTTTAATTTTTTTCGCCCTGTCGCTTCATTTTTTTTTCTGAAAAAAAATCCAAGAACCAACAAATTAAATTGGTGTGGCCTTAGTTACTCAATGATGAAAACTGTATGCTATGATTAAAGGAAAGCACCGACGTTCATATTCATATCTCTACTCCAACATAAGGTTGTTATGATTCAGATGCTACTTTTCCAATAGCCATTCCCTTTTTGTCATTTTGTAGCTGCTAGTTTTATTAGTGATATCTGTTGAATTTTGTACTTTTCTGATGAACTCTGATGTCTTGCAGGTGCGTATCCCCACTCCCTTGAACACCAGTGGCGTCCAGGTCATCTGCATGAAAGGCAAAGCTAAATACAAAGCCAGCGAGAATGCCATCGTTTGGAAGTAAGTAGGCAGCACAAATTTTATCCCATTTTAAAAACTGATGCAAAACTTATGAGTTTGGTGTCTTTCAGAGGGGTAAAAATTGAGCACAGTAAAGTTTAGAAACATTCAAATGCCTCCATATGCTTTTTTAACAGAATAGAAATGTACATAGATCTCTACATACATCAGTGCTACGAGCGACAGTAATTTGTACTTTATTGCTCACAGAATGAAGCGTATGGGTGGCATGAAGGAGTCCCAGATTTCTGCAGAGATTGAGCTGCTGCCATCAGACAAGAAGAAGTGGTCCAGACCTCCCATCTCCATGAACTTTGAGGTAGGCTGAAGCTCACATTTCTTACAACCACTGATCAATATAAATTGATAAATTTTCTAAGACCAACACTGGAATGTATCAGTACATACTCCAATTTTTGGCCGAATCAGTCCACAAATTTGGGAGTGAGTCCCAGTTCCTTCCAGTGTTTGTCTGAGAAAGTTAAGTCCTTTGTTCATAATGTTGATTACCAACACAGACAAACTTTCAAACCAACCAATGTTGTACATGAGGTAATAGTGTGTTCTTAGACCACAAACATACCTCATGCTATTATAGATATTCTCCTGAAATGATGTTATTTTCCCCACCAGGTGCCATTTGCCCCGTCTGGCCTGAAGGTGCGTTACCTGAAGGTGTTTGAGCCCAAGCTGAACTACAGTGACCATGATGTCATCAAGTGGGTGAGATACATTGGTAGGAGTGGCCTGTATGAGACAAGGTAGGTATCACCACGTTTGTGTGTTTTGTAACAAAATTGTAAAGGCACCCAGTGCAAAACTCAAAAGTTCAAAGTCAATTTTATGGTCAATCTTTTAATTAGGTAAGGGGAGTCAATCCTATCTTACAGCATACTGATACCTGTGAGGCAAATATGTGATGTTGCCAATGATGGTTGTACCTATTTATGGGTGGTACCCAAAAATAAAGAGACACCTTTATGTAGCTTCTTTTTTTTTTGCTATTTCAAACCCTTCAAGTATGAAATGATGACAAAAAGGTACTAAGAAATGATAGTAAATGTCAAAACCAGATTTCCTTATCCAGAATATTTTTGATTCCTTTGGAGGCCTTTAATAGCGACTAATTTTACACCACTTATTTTCCTCTTGTTCTTAAGTCTTCACACAATTTCTGTCTTAAGAAAAGCTTGACTGATGTTTTTGATTTTCTCTTTTGCTCAGATGCTGACGTAATGATTGGCCAGGGAAGGAGACCAGGGAAAACCCGACAAACATAACAACCACCCAACACCCCTGTTCCCAAATGACACAGTCCCAATTTACCCAAGGAAACATGAAGGACTGGTCCACATGGTTAGGAAAATGGGGGGTTATAGAGGTCCTAGTAGAGGGCACATCTTTGTTACAGTTTATGTTTCCTTGGAGCCAAATGTTATGAGACCAATACGTGCATCAGATATTTCTACTTTTCCCTAAACTTTTCCCACTACATGTATATTACTGAAGATGAGATCTTAAGGGTTATGGACCAAGGCACACACATAACACAAAAGTAAAGAAACATTACTTTGTTTTGAAAAGGAAAATTCTGTACATTACATATGCTTTATAGGCTTGAAAACACCCAATGAAATATATGTTGAAAACTTGTGCCTGGTACTTAATGAGAGAGTTAAGTTTAAGATTTAAAGTACCATTTTAACAAAAGCAACTTAATTTGCTTAATGATGTGACATTAGTGTGGAAAAATATACACATTGGAATTATGATGAAAAGTCTCCATGACACATTTGGCTCCCAGGTATGAACATACACTGTGAAGTCTACTCCAGAGAAAATTTGTAGAAAGTATTTACAAAAATAGTGGAAAATCTAATTATGTGTGAGGTAGGATACTGCACTGTATAAGCAGTTGTCAAGTGATCAAAAGTGTCTTTTATCGTGCCCTGAATGTGAAAACATGTAACTAGAAAGATGGGTTTGCGGACTAAAAAAATATTTTCCCTGTCTTAAAATCAGTTCTGTATGACGTGACTTAGACAATTTGCTGCAATAACATATTGTACATTGCATCATGAATAAGTCCTACCATTATTTCCTTCTCACATAATCTTTTGGTTAGTTACTACAATGGTTAGTTAGTGCACTTCCTAACATTGATGCCAATTAAGTATTCATTATAACAAAGCAATTATCAGGTATCTGTATTTAAAATGATTTTTATTGTCAAGAATCAGCCAGAAACATGCAATAGATTTCATTGCTTTAACTTCACCCTTTAACTTTCCCTCTGCTAAGTTTCCTATTGGCACCAAATGGTTAATTTTGTGATCAGGCAGCAGGGACAAGGTTAAAACATTCTCCCTACGTTAGTCCATAGCTTTGCTGAACCCTTGTCACTCTATTGTAGTCATTCCAGAAGCTTTCCATAGGTTAGTTGTAGCAATGTACCTTTGAACAGTGAAGTGTAACAATGCTCAGCAAAAGTGTCACAGACCTATAAAACACCCCTCCCCATCAGGATAATCTTGTCAGATGGTATGACCCAAAATCGAGCCAGCTGATTGGCCAATGCAAATGTCTTTTTTTAACTCCCAACAATATGACATGGTCTTAAATTCTGTAGTTGTCACACTAAATATACCAGTAATGACAATGATACAAATTGTAGCCTATTGATTTCTACACTATTTTGCAGTCCAATATGTATTTCCATAGGGGAAGGTACATCTGACATTGACAGCATTCGTCCATTGTTCATAGTGTTCTGTACTTTGTGAAGTAGCCAAGCATTGGTGAAAATAAATGAATCTGTGCACTGCAGTACTGAAGTGTGACTAGTGATTTCCAATGGTCAATGGACTATTGATTTCTTACGTACATTCGTACATACGAACATTTCTTACGTACGTACATTCTTGCGTCAGGGACATAATAATTGTTGCACAATTTGATCAGCCTTCTCAAAATGTGAAAGAAACGCTATAGACTCAACCATAAACAGCACAATGTACCTGGCAAGCAACATTCTCATAAAGTCGCAAATTTCTTTCTTTCCGAAGATTGGGTTCAAAACCGTTATAGCACCCGGCGGTATGCAAAGATGCCTCTTAGCACTACAAACACTTAACACAGTGAGAAAACCCTGAGTATGTTTGCTGAATCAACAATGTCAAATCCGGGTCCCAGACATATCCAGCTGTCCCAGGACGCAGTAATATAAGTTGCTTCAGATGTTTGAACGTGTTTTTGATTTCTGTAGCAGCCAAATCTCTCGACTGAGTTGCATGAAAATTACTAGTCACCGCTCGTGGACTTTTCAAGTCATTAAATCAAGATGCCAGGAGATGTGCCAGTACGTGTGTCAGCGGCAAGAATGAATTATGTCCTAGCCGCGCTTTAGAAGTACTGATGGGGAAAAAATACTTCATAGCCATCCACCCCCGTACCTTATCATCGGTTTTCAAAAGCCAAGATAACCCTCCTTTCCCACAATGATGGCAAAACATTTAGATAAGGCCGCTTTTAAGTTTCAAGATTGTGAGTTACTCCAGATACATGACCTAGCCAGTAACTGCTATTGATGTAGATGTTGCAGGGACGTAGTACACAAATGTGATTTTAATTGAACCCTTTCTAAGGTTTTGCTGTAAGGGTGTTCCATACAATGTTAGGTCCATGAAACAGCATCAGCCATCAGCAGTCACATCACACATAGACCTACTCGCCCGTCAGGGGGTCATTAATTAGTAATACGGTATTTCGGTGCATGCGTATTGGGAGCTGAAAAGATGGCGGGCGGACCGCATCATTTTAGTACCGTCGCCCTACTTTCGCTTGATCCCGCACAGCTGTAGCGTTTCAACAACATCTAGAACCCGCAGTCTTAAGGTAAGAACCTTCATGACATCACCCTTCAGTTTTGTCTAGTATATTTACAAGAGGAATGGAAGTTTCCTTCATTTCTGCGTATCGGAATTTCGCTTAGGCAGCTAGTACAGTTTTCTCAAATCGATTGTATATACGGCAGCTTGGTACTCGTGCATGACCGCTGCTCGTACCGAATAGTAATAGGAATTTACAAAAGCGTCTTTTGGCAAAGATATACGGGGGTGTTTTAAAGGTCTGTGTTTTGTTAGAAAGGGGAAGATTTGAATGCCTGCCAATGTTATCATTCCCAAAACTCTAGAGGTTAAGATTCTTTATGGTCGAATTCCGAAAGCCCTACGTCAGCGCGCTAAACAAAACGTATTGCGTCACCCTTTCCTGTTAGCCGTTTGTATTTACGTTTGTCTGGATTGCCAGGAATAAATAACTCATGGTATGGGGTCTTCACTCCCTGGTTTAATATTGTTATTCCATGCAGCCATCCTGTATATTAAAACACTGAACTTCGTAAGATCTCATAAAGCGGCCGCGTAATATAGGGCGACGAGACTTCCGAATGGTTTGTTTGGGTTTCACAGTGTATGTATATGTCTATATATAAATAAAACGTTGAGCCTGGGTAACGGGTATGGCCGGTTTGTGACATATATGTCTAGGGGAAAATATTTCCTCTTTTTCAAAGATACAATACATGTATAAAGCAACATAAACATTTCGCGTAACCGTTTATAGCGTAGTAAAAGACCAGGTATCATTTCCGTTTTTATTTGGACAATGTGTATGTAACTTGAATAATCTCACCGTTGTCTCATATCTTTTTCTCATGTCCCGATCGTGTCATGACCATGCACTGCATTTACCGTCTGTACTTGCTCCTTATCCATCTGCAAGAAAGATAACAGCGTCACTCGATATTCCCAGAGAGATAGAACGTCTATCCTTTTAAAACGGACGCGTCCATTTCAAGCTTGTGGGCGCTGGGGTGGACCAGAATCTTTCTACGTACCTATCTTCGCGTTTGTGTATTTTGATTCCACTCTTCCCCCCTCAAATGTGCAATAATCGAGCCTGCCCAAAACCTGTCCATTATCAACTGTCAACATTTCTGCCAACATGCCCACTCAGGAATTAGGTCACCCTATGATTAAAACCTGTTCCTGTCTTCATAAATTAAATGGAATAACGTATACAAACTACATATAGTGCCTGTGTGCATTTTGGACACATAAATATTTTAGTACTTTAAAATGGACGAAATACTAATAACCCAATTCATAACCCCAAAAAGCAGGTCAGCGACCTCTTAGTCTGTAGATAGAAATAATCAATAAAGTCAAACCTAACACACACGCTGAGGCTTCAATATTATGATTGTTTGGCAAAGATATCTTCATTGCATTTCGTTATGTTGATGAAGACTTCATAGGAAAACTAATTCTAATAAAACAGGCCCTCAATTACAATGTCTTACATTTCGGTAATGATATTATGTGTTTTATTTATAAGGATTGTATATGTCCTGGATATGATCGAGACTATCCAATGTGAGAAAATAATACAATATATGTTACTACTACAAGTTTGAAATGTGACTACTTAATTTGATAAGTTGAAATTATAGAGGAACTAAGATGAAATTAAGTAGTATTTGTCATATATCATCAATCATTCTTACTGCATTACTATATTCATCCGTCTCTACAATGTAATCAAGTAGTCCGTTCAGAATCAAATTATTCAGATTCCAGAACTCGAGATTCATTCTACTGGTAATCTTATTTGCAAAGACCTGCCTGTCGCTTTACTGCGAATCTTCTTTCATGATACGAGCAATACAGTCTAGTCAGGGTGTTCCGTACAGACGCAATATCCCCCATTTTCTATCGGGATTCATTCTACTGGTAATCTTATTTGCAAAGACCTGCCTGTCGCTTTACTGCGAATCTTCTTTCATGATACGAGCAATACAGTCTATAGCTAGTCCGGGTGCTCCGTACAGACGCAATATTCCCCCATTTTCTATCGGTATCTTTAGGGCGAACGCAGTGTTTCAAAGAATAACGAACTCCAACGTGAACCTCTGAATGCAACGCAACATGGCGTTCGCCATCAATGCCGTAGACGCCATCCTGAGCGACAGTCTGACGGCTCCAGGCAAGACGAAGTCGTCTGTCACCGGACACAACATCGACACCGAGCTGCCGTTCGACAAGATGGTGAAGTGCGTCACTGTGGGCGTGCCTCTCTTTCTCATGTCCCTGTACTTCGCCAAGGAATTTGCCACAGGTAGGGCTCTATGTAGTAGTATGAAAAAGAAAGTATATTGTAGCATTTCGACTAGTAGCTAAAGACTCTCTATATATGAAAAAGATAGTATTTACTTAGCATTGGGGCTAGTAGCTACTTGAAAAGGCATCATGCTTTACCTCAGTTGAGGATGACAAAAAGGAAGAAGCTGAAGAATGGACAAATGGGAATAGTATCCCACCGCTGCCACCAGTAAAGCACAGAGAAGTATTTTCAGACAACTGTGCCAAAACCTTACCCACGTTTTTTTTTTCTCGGAAATAAGAGCAGAATGCAAAGCACTGTCTTTTTACTAGTTGGCCATGGGGTGGCTTCATCATACGCTTTGCAATTCGATCATTAATTTGCATCTTCAGCTAGCTCCAAATGAATGACTGAGACTTTCTTCTCCCACCAACAGCCAGCTCGAACCACATAGTGTGCTTCCCCCCGTTAGATTTCGGCTGGGCTCAGAGCGCCGTCATCTCTGCGTACTGTTGGGGCGAACTACGCGACGCTAACGTCGTGGTTGGCACAGGTAATACCTCAGCTTCCATATAGTAATTGGGTTATCTTCTTTCTACTGGTTACAGAGGACTCTGTGATAGCATGCTTCCCACCTCAGGACTTTGGGTCAGCACATGGGAAGTACCTTAATGTCTACTGCTGGACAGAGTTGAAATTTTCTAGGATCGCGTCGGGCTGGGCTAATACCACAGGTAGGGCCGCTGTGCTACAACTTCTTGTAACCCGTAGTGTAGGTTTTAACTTCCCTTCTCTGAAACGTTTCAGATCTAGAGAAGACTAACTTTAACAGAGATTGAAATCCCTTTAATGTCTTTTCTTTAATGTTTGATTTAACATACAATATTATCCCAGAAGAAACGAAGCATGTAAAAGATCTTGCTAAATTGAAGCGCTTGATACCAACCATCCACTGACTTGGAAATTTTAAATATTGGTCTTTCAAATTTTAAAATACCATGAAATAACGTGAAATTCCATGTTCCATGGCTGACCAACATAGCATTGGAATGCGTTTTAGCCGGACAGCTACATTTTAGTACGCATGCATATGGATGTCTGTGAAAAGCTACTAGTAAGTAATCTCCAAGCAGATCCCTCTCGGTGGCAAAAAGACAGTATCAAATTGGCCAGACAGTATCCATTAGCCAGAGAAGGTCCGCCGCCACCGACGGGTCAGGACAAAAAAAAACGGCCACATATAAAAAGGTAACGATCATTCCCCACAACCTCTGCTTGGAGAGTAACTAGTAATCGTTAAAAAGAAATACGGACGAGCCATTAGCGTTGTAATTTCTGAACACCATAACAATAGGTTTCTGTCCAATCGAATCAAAGCGTTAACATTTTTTTAATTTGGTGTTTCCCAGATGGAGAAAAGGTGATAACACAGCCGATGTCGCTCTTCCAACACAAGATCTTCCCCTACATCCTCCTCTGTATCGGCGCCATCATGTACCTGCCTGTTGTCTTCTGGAACGTTACGGCTGTGCCGACTTTACAGGTAAAGCCGTAGGATATCTTACTTGTGGGAAGAAGCGGAGTTGGATAAATGCAAGGAGATCAAGTGTTATCGTGGTACATGGATAAAATGCCGGGCATTAGAAGCACAGCTCTTATGTTGCAACTTGCAAGCAATGTGTACACTGTTAAGATTTAACGTAACTTACATCTTTGACTTATACGTATATACATATACATATACATGTGGTGCGGTCATTTTCATCGTAGTTCGTCATACGATTTGATGTGATGGGAACCCAAAGCAGCATTTACTAAACCAACGCGGCAACGGCCGACAACGGCAGCTGCTGTCTTTTCGGTACTAACAAGAGTGCTGAATTTTGAAATAAGGACTAAACTTTAACTGCCAACACTGCGATGAATCCAGGGACTTACCCCAAGGTTGATGGAGTCAGCCGAAAATTTTGGGTAAGTCCCAATTCATTGCAATGTTGGCAGTTAAAGTTTAATCCTTATTTCATAATGACTTGTAACAATACAGATGAGCTTTCATACTAAGAGTGCTGAATTTTGCATGGCACGTGAACGATAAACCCATGAATGCTCTCAACATACGATCGCACGACGTATGTGATAGACCCAATCTGTATCCCGTTAATATAAATGACCAGTTTCCCTCCCGTCCCCACCAGGCTGAGATGAGTGTGATCCTGACGGAGTTTGACAACACGTTCAGCCGGGCTGTCCAGCTGGCGTGTGAGATCCTGGGAACACGTGACCCGGGCGACTTGACCATGACACGGGCGGAGTTCGACTCCGAGATGGTGAAGGTAGGGCGAACTTCAACTTGAACTCCGTGTTAAAAGGAGATGGAATAAAACGATGCAATATGCATCATGTGTTTCCCACTAGGATTCAAATTGGGCACGTGCATGTTGCTGATTTTGCGCCCCTGGCGTCAAAGATCTAGACCTGCCAATATTCAGCTTGAAGATCGAATTGCATTTTTCAATTCAATCTTTAGATCTCTCTCTATATAGATCTAACTAGCCTGATTAATCGCTTTACGGTTGCTGGCCGCCCAACATCCAGCCGGCCCCCGAAAGCCGCGGATGGCAGAGTTTGCGTTATACAGAGTAAGATCTAACCTGTCGAGTTTAGTTTCGTCTATTCATGCATTTCATGCGGAAATATATGTCTCCTATATTTGGCGATTTTCTTTTACTCTTAGGACGAGAACCCTGACATGAATTTTAATACGACAACATATTATCATCAAAAACCCTATGCTGAGCCCTCTACATACATGATGGTAGTGATGTATGACAGTATCTGTTGTCTATGGATTTCAGATAACTGTAAGTACTCTCCTACATTTTGTACTGACGGTGCAGATGTTACCTATCTATTATTGTTGTTGATCTCCAGGTAAAGACTGATAAGCCGTACGCCTTCCTGTTGTTTGAGAACTACCTCCTGTGTAAGGTCAGGAAAAACCAGCTCATCCGGCTGTACCTCGTCAGACAGGCCCTGGTCCTGCTCGGCATCGCCTGCACCATCGGTGAGTTCTTGCGTCGAATAATGTAAAAGCATTTACCCTTTTTTTCTCGTAAGGCCATGTTGATTTGATTATATGGATGACATCCTCCGAGAACCCCAAAACTGATGTGCGCGTGCGAATAAAAAAAAAAGTTTTGCGAAAAAAAAAGTTGTTTTCATTATGAAATCTACGTGGTCATGAGGGTTGAACAAATGGGACAGAATATGGTTTGGCGAATAATCTAGTCTTCAAGTTCATTTCTTTACAATTTCGTCTTTTTTCGTTTAATTTTGGCATCCGGCATTCTACGACATTGGTATAGTTTTTATTTATTATTTTTTTGTAACTTACGGTATATTTTTGCCCATTTTGCAGCTGTTTTGTACGATTTACAGTATGGTTGAAAACTTTTTTTTTTTTGGAAACGGCCGAAAATTCATGCGCGCGCGGATGTCATCCATATAATTAAATCAACATATGGCCTAAGGAGGTTTTCGTTAGGTGTTCGAATTCGTGTTGTTATATTACGTTTAAAGCATGTGGTAGAAACAATTCAGTATTGCATTATAGAACTATACAATGCAATAGATATTCAGTGTGTAATTATTGTACAGTAGGAGGTCACTGGAAAAACAGTGAACATAAAAACACCACAAAAGTTTTTTTTTCCATTTATAGTACTGTCTAACTTTTAGATGTATGAGGTTTTGATGTATATTCATACACTGGCACGCATGGGGCAGTTGGAAAGTGGCCAACATGAAATTGTATATCATTATGACAACAGGAATTGTAACTTGCTAGTATCTTGTCTGTCTCTTAATCTCAAATGTTTTCTCAATTTCAGCTTATCTGTTGTTCTTCTACTTTGAGAACCTTCCGGACGAGTTTTCCTGTAACATCCGTTCCGGAGAGCTGCTGGTCATGAAGAACATCCCCGAGGCCGTCAACTGCAAACTGCCCGGGGTGGCCATGTTCCGCATCGCCTGTATCATCAACATCGCCTTCTACATCCTCATCGCTCTGCTCATCTTCGTCTACATCATCATCAAATATGTAGGGAAGAAAAGGGACAACGTGAAGCTGTTCCGGATGCTCCCGTTTGTGTGTATAGAGAAGGACGCGTTGGTTCCCGAGAGCTGGTTCAGCGATATCAACTTGCTGGCGGTGTACCTGGCGAGTAACGTGACGGAAGTCAAGTCGTACTACCGCCTGTCCGAAATCAGGTACTAGTACTAAATATCTGTATCGGTATAGCAGGTATAACTGTAACCGAGGTGTTATTCACCAGGTTCTTTTAGGATGCTGCACGGGAGACTAACTACAGGGCTAGCAAGAACACACGCAGGACACAGGCATTGCCGTTACGCACGCACGGGAGACGATGGGCTGGAACAGTCTCTCTCTGTAACCTTCTCTCAAGCTGTCTCTGTCTCAGACTGTCTTCTAGACTGTTCTCTCAACCCACCGAACACCCAGCTTTTATTGTCAAACCACAGACAGGACACATATTGCAATGCAGACAGTCGTCTAGCAAGGGGAACAACACAATATTTCGCACCCATACGACATGTCCTTGATGTTCCTATCATCAAAGCCTCGAATTAGCATAACCAGATTATCACACTGGCCACAAAAACTTCAAAGACGATGGCCTATTACATTATACATAAATGTGTCATTTTCAACCCCTTACACCCACCCCTATTTAAATGCGAGCCGTCCCGGCGAGCGTACAGCGTTTTTCCTTTCATAAAACAACAAATATAACTACAGCAAATATACATTTAGGACTCCATAATAAAACAGGATACAAATAATACATATGATACACTACAAATAGGAATGGAGAACATTGTTTCATAGAGAGTTCAGAGTTTGTCAGGTCGTCAGGGATTCCTCATGTTTGGATGCTCTTGGCCTGGTCGCTACACTGCAGCCTTCCCTGCTGCTCCTGGTACCCGTCGCTACACTGCAGCCTTCCCTGCTGCTCCTAAGTTCAACACGTCATCATCAGCACCTCGTCCCCCGCGTCTCCCACCGTGCCGTGTTGTCTCTCCCCCTCCCTTCGTCGCACCGCCACCGGACGTCCTTTCCAGATCTACCTGCTCTCCCAGCTATGGTCGCCGACTTCCTGGAGAAGTGTCCCGGTGATCCCTCCGCTGCTTCAGGTTTCCCGGTGTGGGTCACGACCGGATCGGCCCGTCCTGGTTGGGCATGGATAACGGGTGCCTGGAACACCTTGCCGCCATCACTCTCGTGCCCAGGTGTGGCAGTGCAGGGATTAGCCATGGAGAAAGAACAACCACGCACGTAGACTCAACTGACCGCCCTACCCAAACATGTGGAAACCCTACCCTCGACTAAGTAAAAGCCCGTACCTACAAAGAGACAGAAATGAATGCTATCATAATGAAACCATCTTGAACCTCGAGCCAGGCCCGCTCAATACACATTCTGCCCTGGGAGTCCGTAGGGTATTACCTCCAAGGCTGGGTCAGGACCTTGGGCTAGTGAGGCAAAGCCCCCTGCTCAACCGAGGGAGTTGGTAGAGCTCCCAACAAGCTATCCTACTTGATTCCATATGAAGAACATTCCCAAACATCCTCTAAAAGTCCTTTTTACACTTTCAAGGTGATAACTAAGACAATAGCCACAACAAAAACGGACAAAGATAACATGATGGAAAAGACAACAAAGACACCGCACTACCTGCTTAATATTCAAACTGTCAACCTTTTGAATATTCAAAACAAATCAAAGTCCTGGACTCACTGTCCAAACTCCAGAGGCAAAAACATAAAAACTCAAAGGGATATAGAAAAACCAGTGCAAAGAACAAATTACAGACAAGCGAAAAACACTGTTCGACTTCAAGACTTTATCTAACCCAGGCGATGTAACCCCCTGAAGGACTAAAGTCCAACCCCCGAAGTCTGGGTTTCCCCGGGGATCACACCACCCATCACAGTTTCCAACTAGACTCTATAAAACCAACATCAGATGAATATATCCAAGTTCGAACACCACAGGATTCCAACATCCAACTCTCCAGAAGAACCATCTACAACTTCAAAATGAACATCAAACTTTCCTCAACTCCTTGTTCTTGCTGAAGGAGACTAAAAAATATAAATCCGAGCCGAAAACGTTCCGTCACCACTTTCAACACATTATCAATTCTTTAAAACACTACCAACTCTAGAAAAACTAATGCTAGAAGACACTTCGACCAAAACTTCGACATAGGCGGTCAGTCAGAGCGTACATGGCATTCTCAAATCCCACACGACACCGGCCCACTCACTGTCTCTGTCCGGCTCCTGGTTCTGTCCTCCGTCCGAACGCCCGGCGTCTTCCCCTGATCCCTGGCCGATGTCGCCCGGTCTCTCCCAGCCCAGCTCTGGTCCCTGTCGACATCCCTCCCCTCCTGCGGCTCTACAGAAACAGGCTCGCTGCCTCCTCTCGTCGTGGCCCGCCTGTCGAGGTCCGCTTGTCTCTGGCGTCGGTCCTGCCCTCCCGTGCGCGTCTCCGGCCCTCCTGGTCCCGGCGTGGCTTTGCCCTGCAGCGTCCCCCTAGATGGTGGTTTAAACAGCATCCCATCCTCGTCGCCAAATGTAACCGAGGTGTTATTCACCAGGTTCTTTTAGGATGCTGCACGGGAGACTAACTACAGGGCTAGCAAGAACACACGCAGGACACAGGCATTGCCGTTACGCACGCACGGGAGACGATGGGCTGGAACAGTCTCTCTCTGTAACCTTCTCTCAAGCTGTCTCTGTCTCAGACTGTCTTCTAGACTGTTCTCTCAACCCACCGAACACCCAGCTTTTATTGTCAAACCACAGACAGGACACATATTGCAATGCAGACAGTCGTCTAGCAAGGGGAACAACACAATATTTCGCACCCATACGACATGTCCTTGATGTTCCTATCATCAAAGCCTCGAATTAGCATAACCAGATTATCACACTGGCCACAAAAACTTCAAAGACGATGGCCTATTACATTATACATAAATGTGTCATTTTCAACCCCTTACATAACCGCCCTTCGGCGTAACACACAAGCTTCTGTATCTGTATAGCCGGTATAACCGCCCTTCGGCGTAACACACCAGCTGATCTAGCCATGACCTGTTACACCCAATCTTTGCACATTTATTTCCAGGATTTGTTAAAGCTATCTATTGATGATGCCCCAACTGTGCTTGGTGGCAACGAGTTCCACTCTACGTTAGTTCTTGGAAAATACAAGTTTTTGAATAATTATACCTCAATTCTTGGTCTAGCATTTGAAGGCACAACTGTTTCTTGTTCTGTCTCAGGTGTCTTAAACACGCCATGGAGGGAGACCAGGCGAAGGACAAGGATGGTAAGCTGAAAGGAGTCATCACTGGTGACAACACGTCCCTGGACGGCAAAGTGGGCATACCTCTCAAGGACCCAGACGAAGAAGTCAGCCCCCATGACGTGACCGTCGGTGATCTTGTCAACCTGATTGGCGAGGTGTCAACTACGGCCACGTCTGTCTCTCTGCCGCGGTTCGGGTCCATTCTGAGACACGGGAGAGCAGGGAGCGGACCGGCGAGAAAGCGGGCGGGGCAGGGGCAAGGGCAGGACAAGACAGGCACATCGCCAGAAAAGGAGATGCAAGACTCTGGGCCTTTGTAGTCGTGAAGTCTACCTTCTGCTATATGGGAAACAACAGTCGAGACTCTTAACTGCAAACCACAAGCTGATAACAGCAGCCATGCACAAGTAACAAACTGTAACCAGACTTCACACAATTAAAGAAACAAGATGACCAAGAAAGGCTACGTCAGGAATACTGCAAATTACTAATACAAGAATTTCCACAAACTTGCCCCTCGTTGTATAAAATCTGACTTTTATAGCGATGGACTTGGGCCAGAACACCTTTGTACTTTTAAAGATTTAGCAAATTGTAGTGATTTAGGCATGCCTATACTCTATGCACACTGCTGTCTGTTTGTATTGTGTTGGTGTGATACATAAGAAGATGTGGCAGTTTGCAAGACTTTTTAAAGCAAAGTACACTATGTGATTACTTAGTTATTGTGTCCTTTTCAGCTTCAGTATTGTACAATATTTACTTGCAAGTGTTTTTTGGATAATATCTAACTATGCAAATGTCATCAAACTTTGTAAGTGTGTTTTCATATTGTTAAAGTTTAATTCAGAGGTATTTTTGTAAGTCTCTATATCATTATTACGCTGATGTAGTTACACATACTATGTGATTTGAATTAGCAAATACAAAGAAAACACAAGGAAATGTTACGAATAGAATGCACTAAACCACAAAAGTAAAATTGTTTTATCTTAACAAGCTCCAAGATATTTTGATACAAATTGTGCACACATGCTGATATGTTGTACCTTATAACACACATTCACCATAATGCTGTACATATTGGTAATGCCACTGTTTTATCCCATATGTGTGACCACAGCAAACTACCACCTCTAAAAGTGTACTTTTAAAGCTGCCTCTTTTTTATGTACAACAAAGCAAACAGCAGAAATAAATGTATCAATCATGTACTTGCCTGGTAAATGAATGTATGCAGTATGATGAATGGAAGACACCATCAGGAAAATTGGATCCACCAAAATCTACTTAGGTTGGGATGTTAATCAAATTAATGTAGAGGCAGGCAATTCCTGACTGTCAGAAAAAGGACCAGTATCTATACATCACTGTAACTGAGGCCACACCAATTTAATTTCTTGGTTAACGGATTTTTCTAGAAAAATATTGGAGCGGGCAGGCGGAAAAAAAATAGAAATAAAAACAAGCCTAGGCATCCTATTATGGCCCAAAATACTATGATGGGAGCCATGAAGTCAACACACCAGGCTGGTTCAAAATTTAAACAATGAATTTTGAACTCTTAATGATACCACTGTATTGAAAGATGGAATAGCTGTAACAACCAGGAAGAAAAGGACTGTTTTCAACTGTTCAGGGCGAAATATGAGCATTTTGCAGTTGATTCTGAATTTTTATTTTTATTTGCAAATCAGAAAAAAATGAAGCGGGCAAATCCTTTAACCAAGAAATTAAATTGGTGTGGCCTGATAGGTAATAAATAAAATTACAAGTCATAACCTAGATTATTCTAGTAACAATTCATAACTGACAGAAGAAAAACAAGTGGTATCACATACTACATGTATATATTTATGTACATGCTCTACATATGAAAAACTACTAGTTCATTTTATGTTGTATTTTGTATTGAAGAAAATTATTAAGATCGAGTCATCCTTCCCACATCTGCATGTGCCTGTAAAGGTCGAAGGTCATGTGCGTGGGTGCGGTCTGTAGACTGGCCGTGACAGGAGGGATGTGTGAGGTGCTGTAGTCAGCTGACTCAAACACAAGGTCATCTGTGAAGAAGTCCATGATATCTGGCTCTTCTTGGACCTGGACGCAAACATACCATTTCAGGCATATATTGACAAGACACATTAATTAAAAGACACATACCAATACTATTAATAATGCTTTTGCAAAGTAATAAAAAACCAAGACAAAGGGAGAGGATTAAAAAAAAAATGTATTGAAAACAGAAAACACATGCACACATAATGTGACATGTACATTGTATTATTATGATGAATCAAACATAGGAATCATTTACCTGAGGTTTTTCATGTTTGACATCTTTCACCATGGATAATTTTTCCTCCACCGCTGCTTCCAGTACCCTTTGTACTGGTACATCTAGGCTCACTAGGTCTGGGATGAAGGTAAGAAGAAAATACATGTTGTACTGTTGGTATCCTCAAGCAGGACTGTTCATATTCACAAGAATATCAGTTTTTCCTTCTTAAGCCTGTCCAATGTAAGAAAAATCTGCACCACTGGCAGTTGAGTTATACGGATATTGCTACTGTGATTTGTAAAACATCAGTGTTCTTATGGTTAATGTTTCTACAACTGATTTATTAAAGTCGCTGACAATACCAGAAAGGATCTCACCTCTATACTTCTGTTCAGCAGGAGCAATGTTCACCCCCTCTGCACTTTTCTCAGACACCTTTTCCTGCACCTGTTCTGATGTCTTCAGCTTCTCTAGCGCTGCTGCTTTGGCATCAAATTCTCCAAATTTCAATTTCTGGGGACAATAAGAAGATATTATAACATGAAGTAGACATCTTACATGTAGTATCTTCCTGTCAACTAATTGGTACATTATTGAGATAATACAACAAATGTAATGATTTTCACACAATCACACATCAATTCTTTATTAAAATTTTCAGACAATATACTAGTACTAGTATCTATCAAGATGCTAGTTCAACCAAAACTTACCTGAAGTTCCTTTCCCAATGCTAATGTAGTGTTAAACTCTGGTCTTGCCAGAACACATTCCTCTGGTGCATCTGCTGCATACCTGTCCTGCACAGTCTTCCTGTGCCTGCTGACTTGCACCTTTGGTTGAGAACCTTTTGTAACCCTGGTCCTTTTAAATGTTACCTCAGAGTCTTCCTCACTTTGATCTGATCCTTCACTGACACTGTCTGCCACATCAAATCTCACCCTCCTCAGTCCAGGCATGTGTCTCTCTACTCTGGGTTCTTTGACAATGTAAGGATATGACTTTGGTCGTACTGAGATGACATCGCTCAACTCCCTCTTCTCGGGCGTCACCAAGAGATCTGGATCTGCTAGGTTAATGTCAGATTTTGGCACGGGAGCGGGGACATTGTGAGTGGGTATGATGTCTGCTTCTTGAACTTGAACCTTGGGTTCTACAGTCTGTGAGAGGAGGTGTTCTCTGCCCAGCTGGGAGACGATGCCATGGTCCTTGGCGGATGGCAGCGGAGGTGGGAAGGACCGAGGGAGGTGTTCGTTACCATGGCAGACTATGTGTGATGCCATGCTGTACTGGAGACTATGCTGCAATGGAAACTGTGTCACATCGGAAATAGAAAAGAAATAAACATAGTTACAGTCAATTTGGAGCACAAAATGATAATGTTGCTGTATGATGTAGTATTGAATACACATACAACAGCGGAGGGGTTGTTGAGGGGAATAGTTGAGGAAGGGCGTGAGTGGGGGAGGGGGAAGAGTTAAGCAAGGGTGTGACTGTGAGTGGGGGAGGGGATAGAGTTGAGGAAGGGCGTGAGTGGGGGAGGGGGAAGAGTTGAGGAAGGGCAAGAGTGGGTGAGGGGGAGGAAGGGCGTGAAAATGGGGGAGGGGGAAGAGTTGAGCTACTAGAAAGGAGGTTGAACCCCGAGTTGATCGAGGAAGGGGAAGAGTCGGGAACCAAACATTTATACATGTAATTCAATCGTCGCCATCATGGCAATGATTTTTATGGTCTGCCTTGTTCTAACTCGACGAACTTGAAGAGTTCAAAATGGCAAGGGATAACATATTCAACGACATAGTCTATCAGGAAACCAACGAAGCCTTTGTGTCACAAGGCAGGTGACAACCTCCACAACACCCTTACCCACAAACTTTGTTTCACTCGGACAGCGACAGCGTTTAATACAACGACACACCAAATCACCAAAACAGGCAAACCCCGATCCAGAAAATACAATAACAAGTTCAACTCACCTACAAAAGACGCAACAGCGGAGATAACAGACTAACTTTGTGACCAAAAGTCCGAATTTCAAAGATTTGAACGCCCGCCATTTTGTTCTTCTCACAAGAGGATGATGGGAATCTCGTCTACAAGAAAAAATAATAATTTTTGAATAATGCCTCATAATTATTAGTAACACCAATTTTCCTTTATTTTTGGCTGTTGTTGAATAAACAATAACTATATTTGTTTTTGTTTGTTACGAATACTTGTTACGAAAGATTACGTGAGGTCATAGTTTGACCTTACATGATTACTGACCTACGTTAGGTAAGCTCTACCTTGTGTAACCCTCACCCGTAATTTTAGAGGCATTTGCGTTCGTTCTCAGTGCAGAACAACGTCGAAGAGAAGCCAGTGCGTCAATCTACTGCAGAGAAGAAGTCTGAACTGTATCAGTGGTTGTTTTATTTCGTTGAAGGTCAATCTTCGCTTCACAAGATGGCGTCCGTTTTGAACAAGTCGGTGGCACTTTGGTCTGCGTCAAGACAGCCCATGATCGTCGCCTTGCAGGTAATAGATTACTGAATTTACTTAAATTTACCAGAATATGTCATCTTCTACGTGTTTTGTATATTATTATGGTGATTCCTTTGATGTGGTATCTGTTTGTAAAGGTATCGGTTGTTGTACCTTTTTTAACATTTTATTATTTGTCATAAAATATTTATGGATGAGTAAAATTCTTCTTTGGTGGTATTCTTAGTGTAATAATGGGCAGTATAATGACCTTGGTGTAATGTAGTGTAGCTAGCTTGCCAGTAATATTATGAAAACATTTGTAACATTACAATATTTACATATTGAGATTTTATAATTTTGCATTACTGTATGATTGATTGACCAATTGTTCACATGGAATAGGAAGAAGAAGAAGAGTTCTACATTAATTGCTTTTCCTTCCCCAGTTGAGCCGAGGAGCCCAGACAGCAGCAGCAGCAGCTCCTCAAGAACAGCCCCGACTCAAGAAGTTCAAGATCTACAGATGGGTAGGTTTTATGTGACAGATACAACTCTGTAACAGCTAGGACCAACGGCAAGTTATATGTTATCTTCACTTCAAGATGACAGATATGCTACAATCAGACTGAACTATTTTCACTAGTGTTTACATTGAAGACAATATCAGCAGCCCCTAACAATTGGGTAAAGGTCTAACGATTACATTGTGTTCAGTGGTATTGACCATAAAACTGTCTCTGATATATTGCAGGACCCAGACAAGATGGGAGACAAGCCAAGGATGCAGGAGTACAGTGTAGATTTGAACAAGTAAGAGAACAGAAACTTTCTTACTTCTACTAGTATGTAGTTCATTTTTAACAGTTTCCTTACCATTCTAACACATTTTTGTGATCCAACCATATTTGTCAAGATATTTCTAGCTGTGGTTTCTGATTTTTTGTTCTTCTTTTCCCAACCAATATCAGCTGCGGCCCCATGGTTTTAGATGCTCTGATCAAAATCAAGAATGAGGTTGACCCAACTCTGACCTTCAGACGGTCATGCAGAGAAGGTGAGTGTCATCTTTTTGTTTATTTTGTCAAAACATTTACTAATATGATTCATAGCTTGGATTGAAATTTTGTTGTGACACAATATAAACTAGAGTAGAAAGGTAACGTTTGCAAAGCAAATGCACAATGTTTACCTTCGCATAAACACATTCATATATATGGTCAGACAGGAGTCTAAATCCCTCCTACTATAAAATTGCAATGTGATGTAACCCAGCACTAGTTACCATGGTAACAGACAGTCTGGTTCAGGTCACTGACCTTTTTTGGTTTGGAGAAGAAGAGGAAACGTAGCAAAAACAATATGTTTTCTTGGGTAAACATAAAAGGATATGTTGGTTTGATGTGTTGCAGGTATCTGTGGCTCCTGTGCCATGAACATTGGCGGCACCAACACGCTTGCCTGCATCAGTCGCATTGACACCAACCTGCGCAAGGCCACCAAGATCTACCCCCTGCCTCACATGTATGTGGTCAAGGACCTTGTCCCAGTAAGTACTCTGAACATACCTGAACTGTACTCAATGCTTTTAACCTTCTCCCTGCAGCTGAACACCATAAGTACTGTACAATAATCAGGTCCAGGTTCAGGTCCGGACCTGGACCTGATCCTCTGAACCTGATCCGTACCTGGACCTGAATTTTCTATACAGGTACCCACCCCTAACCATAACCAATACAAACTTGATGCCAAAGGGCTACCTCAGCAGGAAGAAGGTTAAGATAATGACTGAGCAAACTGTCAACATTGTGTGTGTTTTTTTGGTGACTACAGTATAATCAGTACCTTGTCTGGTCCTTCAGAATGACTGCTGAACTGAAGTGTTTTTCATTTTGTTGCAGGACATGTCCAACTTCTACGCCCAGTACAGATCTATTGAGCCTTTCCTGAAGAGGAAGGATGACATGCAGCAGGGAGAGGAGCAGCTTTTCCAGAGTGTGGACGACAGAGCAAAGCTGGTACACAGGACATTCCACTTACATGTCAAGCCACATACTACATGTAACTAGCTAGTGAAGGACTTAGGTTTGGTCTTGTATAAGCTAGTTTTCATGAAGCAAGCTAGTATAAAAGAGTAAAGTTATGAGTCAACTAGAAAGGTAACATTTGCAAAGCAAATGCATAATGTTTACATATAGTCTGCTCAGTTAATTGTTACTCAAACACATTCTTGAGTCTAAATCCCTGCTATAAAATTGCAACATGATGTAACCCAACACTAGTTACCATGGTGACAGACGTCTGGTTCAGGTCATGATCATTTACCTTCTTTATTTGGAGAAGAGGAAGAAGAAACAGAGCAAAAACAATTTGTTTTCCTTCTGTGGAGGTAGACACAATGAAATGATAGTGTTAAGTGTAGTAGAAACGTTCATTTGTGTTACTATGTAGAAGAAGTTAAGTATGCAGGTAATAGTATAGTCTTTCATAAGAAAGAAAAGAGCAAGGCCTCTGGTTCACCATCTCTAGATATGGCCACACCAATTTAATTTCTTGGTTAACGGATTTTTCTAGAAAAATAATGGAGCGGGCGGGCGAAAAAAATAAAAATAAAAACAGGCCTAGGCATCCTATTATGGCCCAAAATGGTACGATAGGAGCCATGAAGTCAACACACCAGGCTGGTTCAAAATTTAAACAATGAATTTTGAACTTTTAATGATACCACTGCATTGAAAGATGGAATAACGGTAAAAACTAGGAAGAAAAGGACTGTTTTCAACTGTTCAGGGCAAAATATGAGCATTTTGCGGTTGATTCTGAATTTTTATTTTCAAATCAAAAAAATGAAGCGGGCGAATCCGTTAACCAAGAAATTAAATTGGTGTGGCCTATGCCCTATATAAAAACCTGTTGCTTAAGTCTAATTGGAGGAGTCAAATGTGCTAATTTTTTGTACTCCCTTGTATTAGGATGGGCTGTACGAGTGTATCCTGTGCGCGTGCTGCTCCACCTCCTGTCCCAGCTACTGGTGGAACGGAGACAAGTACCTGGGCCCCGCCGTGCTCATGCAGGCCTACCGCTGGATGATTGACAGCCGGGACCAGTTCCGGAAGGAGCGTCTGGAGAAGCTACAGGACCCGTTCTCCGTGTACCGCTGTCATACCATCATGAACTGTACCAAGACTTGTCCCAAGGTCAGTAAACATTAGTACAAATACCTGTCCAAGTGTGGTTAGGGTATAGAATTTCTTATTACACAACCAGTAAGGTTCTCACCTGCTTACTCCAGTCAGAAGCTCTGAGGAAGGTGTCTGATAGACATCGAAACGTAAGCAGGTGAGAACCTTACTGGTTGTGTAAGAAGAAAATTCTATACCCTAAGTATCTTCCAACCTGATGAAATTATTTACGGAAACTTGTCCTAAGTATCTAATACAGCAATCTTCAGTCGAACATGTGTGTGGTTCACTGTTGTACAGTTACAATGTACCAGAGATATAACTCTTCCACTCTGACATCTGCAGAGTTATGAAGTGCAGCCTTCATAAAGTAATCTTCAGCTACACTTACATGTATTAGCAGCTGTTTCCCCTATAATTATGCAATGTTACATGTATGTTGAAATATGGGCATTTCATGATTTTGTGTTGTGATGGTATGTCAAACAAAATTTGAATGTTCTGGTAACTTTACACATGGTCAAGTTTTGACAAAAAAGGGGATACAAAATTGATACTTTAGGTGAAAAACTGTTAAATGTAAGTACATGTACTGTGTGTTAAATGTAAGTACTACATGTACTGTATGTAGCAAAAATGAACCTTTCCCACTTCTATCCACAGGGCCTGAACCCAGGCAGGGCCATCGCTGAGATCAAGAAGATGATGGCTGGGCTTGCATAAATATTAACAGACTAAAAATATTAAAGAAAAATATTGGACATTTGTATATTATAGTTTCCCTTAAGCTTTGCACGAAATGTTGAAGAGCATCATCTATTTGTATGCTTTGGAGCAGAATTGTGAAAAATGGAAAGATTTGGGAAACATCTCAATTTTTATTTCTCAAAGTCTCAATGTGGTGACTGCTCAACGCTTAAACAATATGTGAACTCACACAATGATCCGAACGTTCGAACATAAAGTTTAAACCTTGAAAGACTCAGTCTACAACTTAGTACAAGGTTGCATAACTAAACTGCCATACGTTATGTACATCACCGTGTTTTGTAGTGATTACATACAGTGTCACTCCATACAAAAATAGATGGTTCTTCCCATATTTGGCACCACCTTCAAATAGACAGTGTTACATACTGCATGTATGTAATGGACCATAGTGTATGGAAGCCATGAAGATGTACTCTAGCCAGTATCATAAACCTCACTTGTACTGGAAGGATTTCTTTTCACCATTCATACAGCCGTCTTGAGTTTTGCTTCTGAACAACACTATGCTGCTTATTGATTTTGAATGAAGTGGCTGTGAAAAACATTGCACCATATAGAGAAAACATGTATCCTGACTACTGAAGATGAAATTAACTGAGATGAAATTAAACAAGTTGCTGTTCTTGGTGAAATTTTTGGTTGCCTTCCTTTCTTCCACTGACTTGAGGTAAAAATTAATCAGTCACAATTAGGCGTTACCATCTAAGGTTTCCCTTTACACAAGTGAAAGGACCTTTCAAACCACGAGTATGTGTACAAGGGCTCTTTATGGGAGTTCATAAAAGTTGTCTTTTTTCTAGTCTTAGAAGTTGATTGGCATGTATTCCAGAGAATATTTCTGTACTCCTTCAACTTTTGGGAAACTTATTGACCCCGAATATACAACACAAGAGCTCTACTGATAGAGGTCTAATAGTACATGTACAAGTTTTCCCTTTTCATAAAGGAGGTTGAAAAAGAAACAAACTTCACAAAACTGTTGTTCAAGTGCTGGTCATTTATTTGCACCTTTTCCATATCACCAATATACAGACATGCTGGCATCGAGTGTTTTTGGATTACATGGTCACAACCATGAAAAAAAGTCAAAATACAGACATCATTTGGATACAGAAACACAGCAGTCCATTTGTTTTGTACACCAGTTTCTTTTGCGAGCTTTGTGACATAAATGCTAGGCATTTTCGTGTCACTTGTGCTTGGAACTGTCTGTATACTGACTGGTATAACAATTTTTACGTTACATCTGCAGATACTGCAAAAATTAAATACAGCACAAGTATGCCAGAGTGTTATAGTTATGAACACATATATTAGCCTTTCACATGAAATTCACTAGCAAAAACAAGCAATTAAATAAATGAGCATTTTAGTTTCCTTAGACACAAATAATATCAAGTACTGGGCCATGTTTTTATTGCTGTGATCCGAGTGTCCTCTTTAACCGACAGTATTCACAAGGCTTGGACGGTCCTTATTCATCCTCAGGGACCAGCAGTGTTGCTGTTTTCTCTTTCTGCTCAGTCAGAGCTCTGGACTCATGTTCAAATACACTGAAGACAACACCCTGGAAAAGAGGTTAAATATCACTAAATTTTACAAGAAAAAATGAAACTTGTTTTGAAATTTGGAATGAACTTAAAAAATATAGAGGTAAACCTTCCACATTCTGATATCTTCTTTGAGCTGCCCTTTTTTCTACATGTATTCTTGATCCTTCCTCCTCACTACAATTCTGATTTCCCAACACTTACCTGGTTAGCAGCAGCTCTCACAAAAGAAGAGTTTGCAGTGACAGTCACAGCATGTAGGCTATCACCAGTCCCAAATATCACCTGAAATAGAAAATACATATAGAATACAACACGGGGTATTCCGTATCGCCCGAGGTATCGACTCGCGAGAGGGCCGGGACCGAGGGCGATGCGGAATACACCGTGTTGTATTTTATTTATATCATACCCACCCAAGAAAACACGCCTTTCAATGCAAGATGAGCCAAAAGTTGGTGCCACTGAACCCTAAACTGCAACAACATCAATTCCAACGTCCGGATTCTGTATTCAAATTTTTGAAAGGGGCACATGCGGGAAGGGCGAAACGCGTTCGAATCGTTTTATGGAAGCCATGGATAACGGGTTCCGGACCGGGC